TCAATGAATCAGAGTAGAGATATTACAAGCGACGTAATTGCTTTAGCTTCATAAAAAAATTGTTAAGTCGATGCATCTAAAAACACAAAAATGGAGTTTATTTATAGGGTGTACTAAAGTTAAAATGAACGAATGAAAAATAAGAAGAAGGGAAGTTGCAGCGCGAGTACCAGCCGTACCAGCCTCCTCTCGCAGCCTTTATCTCTTTCTCACGAGATCGCCCTTCACGTATGCGTGCGCCAAGGATAACCAGCAGCATTTTCTTCTTCATCGCGCATTTTTACCGTACTCTTTTAGGCCTCCTTTCCTTATACCCGCGTCGAAGCGCAAAACACGTCCAACTGGATATATGCGCTTTTGCAAGAGGGGAGGTCGTTTTCTTATCATTATATATTGTCCGCGAGCCATCCATTTATATCCCTCGCTATATACCCATCAATCTTCGCTTTCCGGTCATCTCCAAAGCAAGCCTCGCTTTTTATTCGCTCTTTATTTCGTTCGCTGTCATTTCGCAAACATTGGCAAGACTTTTTCTCGCGTTAATAATCATTGGCTATTATAACGTAGACAGACTATACTTAACATGCAAAGTATAATGGCGTTGATGAATTCGCGAAGGATTTGGCACGTGCTAAGCACCTGTCACCAACAATTTTCTTTTGTTTAATTTTTTAAATGTTCGCAGGCCATATATATTCAGCCCTTGGTTGTAAGATTAAATGTCATTAGAATCAATAGGATAAACACGGGAATCGTAATCGACGTTGGATTACCGCTGTAAAATCACTTTGGCCGATAGAAAAATGGATACTTGCATACGAAAAAGAATAGGCGAATCGTTTTGCAAGAAATTGGGATTGCCTCAAGGTCACTAATTCTCAATGATCCTAATTGTCCTAATTGTACATTCATGTAGTTAAGTACATGTAATAAATGATACGTGGTAAATAGTTTTGAGCTGATAAGCTTGGTGGTCCCCAGCTTGTAACGTATTTTCAATAACTCGACTATTCTTTGTAGAGTAATTTTTCAGCGAAACAGCACTACAAGTTGGACGTATAAAAAATACCTGTTAAGATGGCCAAATTATATCAGCATCGGTTTTTTATATAATAATATTTATCAGCATATTATTAGGAGAAAAATTATAAACTATTGTTGACAACGTGACGATAATCGAGTGTAGTGACTGAACCGATGCCAAACGAGTGCAAACAGTTCGAAACAGTAGAAACTGCTTTGCATTCTCAGGCGTTGCCGAGAAAGATGTGCAAAAAATTGTCGAAAGCGATCAATTGAATTCTAGAGGTATCCTTTGTGATGAAAAGCGGCTCAATTTACATGAAACGAAGCGCGACTCAAGGCTGTAGACAAAGCAGCGCGGCGCGCAAGCTCCTGCCTCGAACTGGTACCACCGAGTGGAAACCTTGCAAGTCTCGCGGCTCTTGTCTCTCATGAGGTTATTGAGCAGGCGGACGCACACCCCGACCAAAAGGAAAAACCGCGGCGCGCGAAGAAGACCGGATCTGCCGGCAGAAAAATCTGGCGCCACGAGAGGCGCGCAGTAGAAGGGGCACAGGGACACGCAGGCCGGCCGCCCGTGCCGTCGCGATTCGGGTATATAAAGGGCCAGGTGGAGCACGGCGAGCATAGTCCTCTGCCGACTAGACCGCCCAACGCAACCTCAAACAAACATGTTCAAGCTGGTAAGCCACAAAAGCTCTGGCTACATTCGCTTTCATTTCCAACAGCTACGAGCCCGCCATTTGTTGCAGTTGTTGTTCTGCCTGCTCGTGGCCTTCGCCGCCGCCAATCCGGCCCCACAGCCAGGACCCCAGCCGGCCCCGGCCCCGGCAGCAAAGCCAGGCCTCTACGCCACGTACGGCTACGTCGCTCCAGCGCTCACTTACAACGCCGCCTATTCGCCAGTCTACAGCTCGTACAGCTCATGGCCGTACTACAGGTCCAGCTATATCCTCTAAGCTGCTCCGTTAACCGCAAGCTCCCGCTCTAGTTGATCGGTCAGTCACCGTCCGCGTCGAGGACTTCGTAAGCCCAACAGACCTAGGCCGCATCGTCGACGACTGTCACCATCAGCTGTCTCTCACTGATCGACTGCTCGTCTGCTTGTTGGACTCATATTCCGCGCCTCGTCCTTCTCCGTCCGGTTTTCATCATCCCCCACCCCACATTTCAAGTCTTATCGCAAATACTGAAAGTCGTCCATTGTCTCATCTTCATGCGACAAACATCAGAATGATAACATTAATAAAATTGCTTCAAAGCTGATCTTCATTGCAAAATCAACTTGTTTAGTTTTTTCGACAAACCCGTCAAACCTTATAGTACATACTTTTGAAGGGCTTTTGACAAACATATTCAGTGGGTTGTTATACGATGTAGTTAAAGGTCAAACACGCGACCGACAAAACAAAATAGTAAGTAGAAACGAATACATTAAATTCAACTTTACATCTATATCATTTATTTCGAGGTTTATTAACTACTTTATACTATTAAGGTATAATATTTTGTATGAAATTGGTCAATTTTTTTCACATGTATCTCTGAGTCTGTTTTAATCAAATCCAAGGCAAATGAAGCTCCATTCAACACAATTAAGAATACATTTAATGTCCGATTTGCATCCACATACTAACATAATAATATTTATCATTAGTAAATGAAATTATTACTGAAAATGTCGGTGCAGAGATATGCCCACGAGAACAAATCACTTATTGAAAAAAATTGTCGGCTAAAATATGGAACTTCAAAACATTTATTTTTTGGAGAGGAGTAGGATTCACTTCGGTTTACCCGTTTTAAAAATTATATATTAGAGTTATTACAATAAATTGTGCTTATCTTGCGAAATTCATCGCCATCATAATCGTAAACTGTTAGTTTGAATTTTTTAAACATGATTTGTAAGATCCGTTGAACGGCTGTATCCAAAAATTATGTATTTGAATGTATCAAACGTGAATAACGAACGTATAATTGCTACATTAATTTGTCCCGATAAACGTGTATTCTCTAATATAAATTTTGACCCTTCTTACAGAATCTATTGTTCGACTGAAAAAGTTTTGTCATTAGCTATACACTTGAGAATCTTATTTTTTATTAAATCTAGTTGTACCATCAAAAAAATTACAAATTGTGAAGGATATAGGTTTGATAAAAAATGTAGAAAATATTTGCGATGAGAATCAGCTCTGAAGCAATTTTATTAAAATAATTATCATGAAAATTGGACAATGACGATATCGCGTGTGTGCGCGTATCTGTATATCTGCATGTTGCGATAAAACTCAAAGTGGGATAAAAATCGGGTGGACAATAACAACGCGCAGAATAAAATCTATTAAGTAAGTGACGACGGTGGCGATGATTGCGACGATGGTGAAGATGAGAGATTTCGATCGACTCTGCGTGCTAAATTGACGGCGGGCTTACATAATCGTCGACGCGATTACTGAGCAATCGCTATAGAGCAGGAACAGCCCAAACAGTGTAGCCCGATGGTGAGGTGTAAGATAGGAGCAAGTAAAGCAACCTGGCTGAGGTGCTGAGGCTGGCTGGGGTCTTGGCTGAGATCCTGGTTGAGAGACTAGGCTGGCGGCACCAAAAGTCATGAGGAGGCAGAACAACAATTGTAACAAATACTTTTTTGATAGCTTTGAAAAATTATCAATGGACTAGAATAAAAACGTGCAACGAGAATTTGATTTTTTTTAATTATCAGCTTGAATATCTTTGAGATTATAGTGTGCTGTTTAGTGGATAGAGAATACACTTAATTCGTAAGTTAGGCAGTTGTATCTCTCCTACTTCATCTCTCAACGATTTTTCCCTGGTGAATCCGGTCTAAACCGGAATGAAGAAGCTTGTTTGGTACGTGTAGTGTATGTTTTTGGAAAATCCACTGATTATAGGCGGTATTTTCAGGAATAAATACCAGCGTATGAATCATAAGTTTAAGCTCTTCAACGAGGTTCAAATAAAAGTTATTCTATTCAAAAGATGAAAAATGTTAAATATTGGCAAAATTGAGTGTTATTTTACTATTTTTATTTGTAATAATTATAACCCTGTTATCAAATGTATATATAACTCTTGAAAAAGTAAATTTAAATATATTCCCATAAAAGGCTAATTCTACAATATACTATAAGATATTCTTCACTCTCCACAGTTTAAATAATAAAGCATTTTAAAAAACAAACGTAAAGGTCAACCTTTGATCAGAATAAATATCAACATCTAATTTCCATTTCAGTGTTTCGCTGATCGGTTCTCAGCTTTTTAAGAAATAATCCTAAATGTAAAACTATACATATGAATAATTTTGTAAAAGACGACATTGTCAATAATATTTACAATGTACTTTTTAACAAAATTAATGACATGCTACATTTAGCACAATTTCCTGTGGAAGCTGGAAATTGATCATCAAAACGTTGAAATGCGACATCAGAAATAATTGAAAATCTATCGGCAAATCAAAAAAATGTTATACATTGTCAACTAATTATTTTTTGTATTTACCAGAAAAATATTTCTTATGTATTAATTTCTTTCACGAAAATAAATACTATTTTATCTTTCGTGCGTAGAGATTTTTTTATAAAATCATGTAAAAATTGATATCTGGACAAGGTCTATCCTATCACTGTATGTTTTTTAAAATATCCAAAAATAATTTTGATTTAATTTAGATTTTCGTGAATAAAAAATTTTACCTTAAAAAACATTAATCCCTTGATTATACAAGGATTTAGTCCGCGAAAATTAAAATTGGAAACATAATGTTTGCTATTATTACATTACATACTCAATAAACTATTTATAAAAATTTGAATTGGGACACTATAAAATTTAATAATTAATGCGACTGAATATTTACGATATAGTTAGTAGAATATATATATAGTTATAATTTCAAAGGAAAGGAGACATTAAGGTAAATACACAATAAAAAATGTTTAGGCGATTTAAAAAATTCCTTTATTAAAAAATTAATTAAAAAGTTTATTTTCACAAACAAAAATGAACATCGTTATAATTTGTACACAAATTATTTGGAAATCGATTGATGTCATATATACACAAAGCATAGGTGATAATCGTACTGTTTGAAAGTCAAATAACAATAAAATTATTGAAAAATTGTCCATGTATTAGAATATGTGAATTAATAAAAAAGGTAATTAGTATTAAAATTCTCTTCTATGATACTTGTCAGGATCGTAGTATGACGTTACTACAACACGGTTACTGAACTTCCGTCCACTAAGAACCTGTTGCGCTTTTTGACAGTCCAGCACACTATTGAACTCGACAAATACTTTTCCACATCCAGGAACTTCGACCCCTTCAATAGGTCTCGGAATTTCAAGCGAACGAACCACACCATATTTGTTGCATTCCTCTTTAATATCCTCCAAGATATCTTCGTATTCTTCTTCCTCCATCAATTCGTCGGGTGTAACCATATTCAACAAACATAATATTTCCGTAGCCGGTCCAGCAGCGCCAACAGCAGACAATCCAGGCACTTGGATTTGCACCGGTGCTTGAGTGCCTGCCAGAGCATTTTTAGCACCAACACTTGCCCTCTGTATGATGATTTTCCGGTCGCCCAGTTGAATATCTCGAAGCCCGTCGATTGCCATGTCTGTTACTGACACGTCCATATACTCACAGAATGCGAAGCCCTTGGATAAACCGGTCGCCGAGTCCATCACCAAGTTGAAGGAACGTAGTGGCCCAAAGGCCATGAGCAACTCCTTCACTTGATCCTCTCCCAAGTAAATAGGCAAACCACCGATGTAAATTTTATGAGGTGAATCTGGAACGCTCGAGCCACCAGTGTCGCCCATCCCGGGCATTGGCTGATAATCGTGAGGGCGGCGGACTTTCAAAATTTGACCCTTGAACTCGATATTATCAAACGTCATCGCCTGAGTAGTTTCGTCGATAGAACGAAATTCTAGAAATGCAAAATTCTTATCGAGATTAATCTGACACGAAAGGACTGGATTCCCATCAGCTTGAGCCAAACCGGAAAGGTGCATTTTTTGATTGAAAAACTCCATCATCTCTTTCTCCGTAACACCGAAAGGTAAGTTGCCAATGTAAATTCGTCGAGCTTGTCGGGTGATCGTACTACCGACAACGGGTACAGCAGCTTGCGGTATATCAGGCATAGGATTAATTGGAATTTGACCGGCTGTCTGCATGGCCTTGTACTGTATCGGGGTGATGTGCTCAAATCCCGGCGGAGCGACATCCCAATAGAGCGATGGCTTTCTTCGTTTGGTGCCGCCGCCACTTTTCTTATCACGTGGCGAAGCGCTTCTCTTGCGATCTCTCGACCTTCTACTTCTGTTCCTAGATCTGGAACGACGTCTTGGTTCTTTGCTGCGCGATCTGCGTTTCTTATCCTTGTCTCTGTTCCCATGATCTCGCTCCCCCTCTTTGCCTCTGTCTCTGTCACTTTTTCTGTCCTTACCTCTGTCACTGCGGTCTCGCTCTTTATCTCTATCTTGACGATCAACTTTGGCACGTTCGTCCATTTTTACAACGAAAAAACTATAAATTATTACTTCCCACGCGCAACCGATGCACGATATTGATGAACTGGCAGCGTGGAGAGTCGGCGAGAGAGTAAATGTTAGACAAATCGCACTAGAACAGGACGCCAACCACGCTGTATACAACGCATGGCGGCATGCATCGAGGCACTATAGACTATACTAAGAGGCTAAGCACGCAATGTATACAAAGTTTTCGTCTGCTTGGCGGTTGGTTAACCGCTGGCCGCTGCCGTGGCGCGCAGGCCAGCTGCCGCTGGCGTCGTATAATTCCGCACAGTAGCGACACTAGCCGGAACAAGCCCAAATCATTGCCCTTACGCGCGATATTCAAAAACGCTTAATTTATTATTTCCTGTATTATGATTTATAGGGTTCGAAGCTCACGCCGGGAAAAATTATTCTTTTATTTTAAGTTCCGATTTAGTTTTCTGCAGCTTGAGAACAATTAAATATATAATTTTTTGAATTCGTAAATAATATTCACACACATAAATATTAAAAGGATGTTAATACGAAGGGTCAATTACAGAATCTTTACAATTTCAACCTAAAATACAAAAACCTTCTTTCGAAATGTTTGCTTTACCAAAATTGCTGACAATGAATGATTTATATAATGAAGATAATTTTTATTGGAAACATATTTTTTGGACAATTTATGATGACTGTTTATTTATTTACTAATTATATTTACAAAGCTATTTCAACGTTAGACTTTGAATTTTTTTTATAGAAAAAGTATGTTTTTCACACTTAGCCGTACGAACTCGCACTGTCGGAGATTAATAACAATTAATGCGATGAAATTTAGATACTCAATGACTGTTTCAAGGAGGATAAGTACGTGTAATTAAAGGTGAAATATCTTGAATTGACCTAGTTTTTTAAACTTTGTGAACTGGAAATAAATCATTTATCTGTGGTCGTACTATTCTAAAGAATTACATGTTAATGACATAAAACAAAAGCTATTATGATTACTTTATCTGAAATACAGTCATCATGTAACTATATTTTTATAATCTTCAGTGATACGCCCGGATTTCTAATCCAATTTAAATATAATAATGATTAACTTTAACGTTTCTAGAATATCTATTCAGTTGTTATTACGTAATTTAAGAATATGTTTATTTCAGAAAAATGAAAATATATAGTCTTGTATATTCACAAAAAATTAATGACACTTCGTATTTATGAATACTTAGTTATATTGAATAACAAAAATATTCAAGCTTTTTATAAAGTACAAAAAAACTTTTATTTGCATCAACAGCAAACAGTTAAATTGATATGATGAAGCACTGCCAGTATATGAACATTACCATTATTTTTCCAGTGGCAAGCCCTAGATGTTTGAAGATATAAATAAAATATCAAGATATATAATAATAATACAGCATAACGCATCATTACGTAGACAATAATTGGACAGTCGACTCGATCAGCAGGTGTCAATATAAATTGGTTTACGATTTGACAATTGCATTTTTCCATAGCCTGACTTGACCGATTGATTTCGATCGAAACGTTGATTAAGTCAGAAATTTATCGGAATGATGGACAGTTTTCTTAGATTTAAAGTTGTGTAAAATTTAAGTAACTACCTTTGGTTTCCTCATCACTCACAGTCTACAACCAATGAATACTGGCATGCCAAATCATTTCAGTAATGCATCTCTTAAATGCAATTTAAAAATAATATTCATTCGGTTCATTTCCAACTGTCCATAAGATTCCACAATGTGCAACTGATATCTTTCTTTCGACAGATTCCGAAGAACGGTCGTTCAATAACGAGCACTATCAGCATTCACTTTGAACATGTATAGGCGACTAGGATCTGCCGATCAAGAACTATAGTTATATCAAACGATCCTCCGCGATGAGAATGAATCCACAGCCTGTGGAATGCATATCAATGCGACTTTGAAAGCGTGAATGAGACTGTAAAGGTGATCGGGAGTTCAATTGTTTTTTTAAGTTTTTTCTCATGCCACGTTAACTTACTCACACGTGGAGATGTGATTCTGGACACTACAAAAGTCAAATCTATTGTGAGCTGTCGAAGCTATGTAAATGTCAGCGTCTGCAAGCGTCTTCGCTCGATCGCCATGTTTGTTCTTAATAATCATTTAACAATTATATGCTTTTCAATAAATTTTTAATGAACTGGTAACCCATCTAAAAACGACGAATAGGCTTTTGACTAATAAACAAATGGCACAATCAGATGATTCTAAATACTATCAAAGTGAATCTATCTATACGAGATGTCAGATTGTCATTTGAATTAGGCGTTAAAAATTTTTTAGGCTTCCTTATACAATTTCACAACTTTTTCATCGTATGTTGTCTCATTTCATACAGCACAATTTTTTCATCGACTTTGCAAAAGAAATAACGTAAAAGGATCGTAGTTTACTTACTGTGATTTCTACACAATTATAAGAACAATCATTCAATTTTTGTGGAAATTGTAGATGAGCTTTGGTAAGTTCTCATTCTAAAAAATAAATAACGTTTAAATGCAGGATATTGTCGGCATTCTGTCAAGCCGAAATAGACTTACCTTTGCCGAATTGATAGATACGTACGTATGTTTTCGTTGTAAGGCAGGTTCATGTTTTCTCAAACATAGGAAGCGATAGTTGTATCAAATATCCGAGTTTGATTATACTCTAAAATTCTATATTTAGATACGTCAATAACTGAAATGAAAATTAAGAGATTTATGATATCGCGGGAATAATTTTTGACGGAAGCATTTTTGCTTTTCGAATGTTAGATTTTGAAAAACAAAAGTATTGTTTGCTCAAAATCTTGGAAACTGATGAAAATGATGGACGGTGACATAAATAAAACAGATGGTGCGGTAATGTACTTTAATAGCAACATCAACTAATAGTATAAAATATAAAAGAATTGACTTCTTAAATATGATCGGCTGTTATATTAAAGTAATAAATTTCGTTAAACTGAAAATCCAAGTGTATATAGAAATATAACTACAATAAAAAAAATTTTTTATAAAAAAACACGCGTTGATAATATTTTCGTTAAAACTGATATTATAAATAAGCCCTATAAAGTAACAAAATCTATCACTGATCACCATCCACTTATTTTCAATATAAGAAAGTAGTTTAGGATAACAATTACAAATTTTTAGATCACAAAAAATTATAGAAAATGTCAGAAAAAAAAATTAGAATACTATTAAAAATATAGACGAACCGGAATTCGTATAGCAGATCAACCAGTAGTAGTGACAAACCTGAATAATAGAGCAGTTTGCAAAATCAATGGAAGAATATATTTGCTCAGATGAATCGAACGAGACACGATTGACTTTCGTCAATCAATTAGCATATCTTATCAAGTTCGTTCGTTGCTCGTAGTGCCATTGATTCTAAGAACTTCTTTCAAATGTGTGAAAATAGATTTAAAAATAGATTTAATATTTGCTTAACATTAAGTAAATTTACTTAAATTTGAAAGAGATTTTTGGAAACGACGGCACTACGAACGACAAATGAACTTGATAAAATATGCTCATATATATTTTAAAGGTTACCGATTTATTTTGATAGATTTGAAAGATATTTTGGAAAATAACGACATTACAAGAAATGAACAAACTTGATAAGACATACTAATTTGCTCTGTCATAAATATGTTTAAGGTAGACTTACCTTCGTTCTTCTGAATTAAGGCGATTGAAATTAAAAAAAATATGATGCTAACTTTATTAAGGCTCCTAATACGAAATAATTTTATTGCAATTATAGATCAAGAAAAAATAATTTTTAATAATAAAACGATTATTTTTCTATTTATTTTATGTTACCTTTATCTTACAACAAATAAGGAAAAAAATACGATCTCATATACAAAGTACCATTACATAATCGTGCGTATTGATCTATGGAGCACTTCACACATTCGATAATTAAACATTGGTTTTGTGATAATCAAACAAGTTTTTTCCTCCATGGATCCGTATCATCTAGTAGCATTTGACCGCCTTCTCAGTTATAAGTGTAAACGTACCACACGTGTGCTTCTCAGTTTAACGAGCGGCATCTGTCATGAGATCCCTCGGCTTCGTTTTCTCGCCCACAGCAGGCCATTGACTGAGCACGCGTTGACGCAATCGCTTCAGGTACGCGCCTTCGTCCAGCCCATCGCTTGGCAAGATGAAGAGCGCAGTCAAATTTGTTGACCCTTTGACTCCCAAAAATGATGCCTAACTGACCGTACACGTTTCATACAACGCTTGCCTGTACGCGGCTTTGGCACAGCTTGGATTCCTTTATTCAATCACGAAATCGAGATACTTTATCTCTTTGCTACTGATGACTGGTACGATACTTACTAATTTTCAACATCATCTGAAATCTGTTCAATTATTCTATCACATTCAATGAACTATATATTTGCTGATAATAGCCATGAATTAAAAATTAACAACATGTGTGTGTATGTAAGTTCGTATTTGTTCGTTTATATTTTTTTGTTAAAATTCATCGTATTAATATTGTTATTATAATTCATTGATATTAACAATGAAAATACAGTTCATTAAATACCATCGAATAGTTCATGAACAATTTTCAGATTGCATGTAATTTTAATAACACTATAGTCTCCTATCTCTCTCCAATTTTTTTTTTCAATTTTTAATTTTTAATTTTAATTTTAATTTTTTATTTTTTAATTAAAAAAAATGATGAGTCGCCGACATCCAACATTGTGATTGGTGGATGGAAAAAAAGAGCGCGAAATTTTGGAATTTTCGTATACTTTGAAATAGCTGTATTATATATCTAGAATTGTGAGATTTATATTTCAATAATTAATTCAATTTATGAATAATTAGTATGAATAATAATCTGTAAGAATGAAAACATGCCGTTAATAAATTGTTTATTAGGAATACAAGAAGCTATATTTGAAATTATCATTACAAATCAATAATTTTATAATTATTTGTGATACTAAACTCATTATATATTATCTTTAAATTTGTTTAGAAAATAGAAAAAGTCAATAGAATAAAATGTAGGAAAATACATTTTTATTTTTTGTGCATTGCAAATTAAAAAGTATGCTGGCAATGGGAACTAATTATCACAATATTAAACCCGTAAAATTCGAATCTTAAATAGGAATAATTTTTCCGATACGTTTTGAAATGAGTAAAAATTTATCGGTTTTTGTGAAAATAGGGTACAAATTTGAGTTTTATTCATCAACGAATATACCGAAGGATGCAGTGTATTTTAAACAACATCAATTATTCATACGTTTGTCCCACTAGAATCTCAAAGTTGGCATGTAAAAGGTTCATAATAAATATTACGCGAATCTAAGAAAAAAGTGACAGAGAATTATATAACGAATAAAATGAGATCATAGACATGAAAATCACTTCGATGATTTCTTCTCTAAATCATGCGCAAAGAAAAAAAAATATAGACTGAGTAATTTAGGAGAGTTATTTTAAAAATTAATTTTCATATGAAATATTAAATATAAATACAATGATGGTTTCCGAAAATTCTACGTTAAATTATTTCAAGCCATTAACGCTTAAAAATCTTTGTTTTCTGATGTTCACATGCAATTTGTAGAAACTTAAAGTTTTTTTTTTGCAGAATGTATTTGAGAGTTACCAAATAATTATCAATTATTTCAATAAAACAATTGATATTCGGATATTTCAATTGCAATACACAGAGAAGTGACGAAAAATTCTATGTAAATAAAATTTTTATATCGATAATGTAACATCTAATACACCGATGAACGCTTTTATAACGCCATCTTAGCGGTGACATCATGATAGATTGCCGTTGGTTACTGCTATTGATTACTTCAGTAATTTGAGCTCACGAGGCGGAGCTTCTCGCGATTCCCCTTCTTTGATGTTACTCGATTATATTATATTTATGTATTATCTTGACTCAATGATTTTGTTTATGTGCATGCGTTAATATTATAAACAATTAATGGTACAATCGTTTTAAAACAGTGCACATTATCAATAGAAATTTTTCTTTTAATTAAAAACATGATCAGTTCACTTAATTTATGCTATGAAGGCTTCAATAAAAAATTGAATTGAACATATAAATATAACTTTGGCCTCAAGGTATCATTTAACATGCCATTATCTTCCCTTAATAAATACTACAAAAATAACTTCAACAGTTGACGAAGAAATTCAAGTAGCAGCGAACATATAATTATAAGACCTTAATCCGGTATTGTATAATAAGATAAAAAGATTAAGTAGGTGAAGGATTATATGAACACGATCAGACTAATGTTTAGCAGATCAGACCCGCTTTAGCATCGGATTTAAAACATCAGTTCAGTGTGCAGAGAAGCTCGGTCCTAAATGGTACTCTAGTGCATCACGCAGTATTATTTGGTAGAAACCTTATCTATCGTATTCTTCGATTTTCCGCGCGTGCTTCTTACACTTGCGGAAATGAGAAAAAGACACAGCAGATTGCGAAAACTCGTTCGCCAGAGAAAAAACGATGAATTATATCTGCTCACGGTGACACTCAACGCCAAAACTACCGACAATAACTGCCTATTAGTTGACAGTTGTGGAAACACGATTGTCCACTTAGCAGCCAAGTATGGTAACATAGAATTATTGAAATGTTTGTTTCGCTATCGTCATTTTCTCAACGTCTTGGATCCATCCGGAATGACACCATTGATGATAGCCATAAATAACAAGCAGTTCGAAGTCGCGAATCTAATCTTGGATGAAGGAGCCGACATCTTCATCAAAAACTTATTTGGAGTTGCAGTACTAGAAATGGCAGTTAGACAGCAAGTACCAGGATCCATCATCAAAAAACTCATCGATATTTTCATAAAATTTAATTTCTGTCCGGATATGATAGCCATAATGCTCGAACGTGCTGGTTGTTCGTTGAAATACGCTTTATCCTTCAATGATACTATGATTTTAAAAACATTACTCGAACGTAAGTTAACTATCAGTTCAGAAGAATCGACGAAACTTATACGTTGTACTTTGAATAATCCAACCGAGGACAGTGTTGCGAACTTGATGATACTAATCAATTATGGATTTGGGCATGATGTGAGAAAGGACATGTTCTTACAGGAAATTATAATCGAAGTTGAATGTCTTTTTCCATCTTTGAATACTGGATATTTAAAGAAATTAATGAGGTACTTGATGGACGCTGACGCGCTTGATCACGATTTCGCCATTTATTTTATCAAGATCTTTTGTCATGGGAAAAAGTCAGCAGTGAAGTTATTGTTGGACTGTGAAGTTCACACACATTTTAAGCAACGTTTTAGGCGAAATATACTTCCACATTTATTTGGCAATCGTAAGGTGAATGCAATCAAATTAACGCGAGATAGAGACTTTGAAGTTAATTCTATAGGATGTGGAGATTACACTGCATTACATTGTGCTGTAAGAGCCAATTTAATTAACAATGTCAAGTTTTTGCTGGAAAATGGTTCTAATCCGAATCTCGCGGATGACGCGGGAATGACACCGATTTTTGCATGTGATAGTAGCAAATGCATTATGATGTTGTTGGAATATGGTGCTGATATCCAAATTCAAGATAGTGACGGATTAAATTTATTAGATATAGCAGGTACATCGGTGATAAATTACGTTCTGGCTCACCTTGCTCTTCTCGAAGCTGCAGATATAACAATAAAGCCGTATATGCACAACCGTCTCGAAACAAATCGGAAATTCAACTATTTATATACAAAGTGCCAGGCACAGTTGACATGGATGAAGCAACGAAAGATTTTTCAACGTATTACTTTATTTCATGCTCTAGTTGACAAACCGGAGAATATCGTTCGTTACGTAGCAAAGTTACAGAACAAAGCTGAACTTCGAGAATGGTACGAGGAGTATCCTTTAGAGAAATATTATTTTTCAAAGCTAAAGAACAATTTGAAGAAAGTAGTGAAGATGTACCAATTAAGACGTCAGGCTGCCTGGTTTATTTGTCAAATAATGAGGTTATGTGATCCCGAACATTTGGTTGTGCAAGAGATTGTCGGTTATTTGACTTTCGAAGACTTACTTTTCTTTGCTTAGTCTTATTAAATGTTTGTCTGTGGGTTTACGTACGTACGTATTTCGTATGTAATTAACGAAGATATATTCATTGTACAACTTTTGTGGGTGATTATTTCGATTGTGTGATTTTTTTAGTTTGAATTTCGATGTTTAACATATATTGTAATTTTTTTTATCTCATTTTCCATTGAATTCTACAATATATTTTCGAAAACTATTTGTTAGATATTATGATTATATCTAGTTATGAGTTTTCATTTCAGAGCGACTTATCAAGAAGTGTACCATAAGTTAATAACAAGTTAATTGTTTAAATGAGAATTAAAAAAATTTTAATGGTATCAGCAATATTTTAAAATGTGTACATCAAGTGTATGTTAATGAATATATCACGTATGCTGCAATATTTGTCTTTATTAAAATCATATACTGAGATTATTATGAATTCCTATATAAACTTTTATTAACCTATTAACTTCCTTCTTTATTTTGCGGGAAACACTGATCTTCGTGCCATCGGCCGAAAGTCGATGGGCAACAGCGTCGAAGTTGTTATTATCCAGCAATGAGAAAATTTTTCCACTAAGGATAATCATCCATCATGCCCATATAGCTTAAAATATTTTCCATTTTTAGGCTGCATTCGAGTGACGTACAGGTGTTACTCACCTAATAAATTTGGGGTTTACGAAGCAACGAAATACAGATTTCGCATTTAACGATTCTTTCAGCACAGCATTTTCAATCTCTTACATGTAAAGTCATATTTTTTCTTCATATAAAATAATCATATTTTTATATAATAAAAGTAATTGCCTACCGAGTAAAGTCTTTTTTGTGATCTAATTGGAAGTCATGTAGGGTATTATTACGCGATATCATGTCTGTATATGTAAGTAATTTTGTTCTATATAAAACAATGATGGATTGTCGAGTGGAGCCATTTTATTTATAATCTGATTGGCTGATTGAAGTTTAACGAGTGATTGCTCAATCGACTCAAGCGCAAAATCTGACTGAATAGCTTACTCGTCCGATATCTGCAAATGACATCCTTTATAACGTTCTAGAACAAATATCTTCAATCATAACATATACCTATTTTACGAGATGGTTCATTTGTCGATACTTTTTAATGTTGACGCGCTCTATTTTTCAGTAGATGTTGTAGAACATGTTGCAATTACAATAAACAGCCACAATCGTGCAATCCACTAATAAAGCTTTATGTAACTATTTACAGCTCTTCCACTTGGAAACTCACAATAATCATTGTTGTCTTGTAACTTTCAATAATATTGTAATGGTTGAAAAGGCGATCTTCCAACTTATTTAACTAGAATGATTAGATATTTAAAATATGTAGCCAAAGATCTAATAAAGAAATAGTCAACTAAATTGGTGATGCGAGAATTTACAAAACAATTTTAATTACGAATGGTCAATTTCGGCAAAGCTTGACATGTATGGTTAATCTGGCAATACTAATAAAAAGCGAAAAGTGGCAGCACGATAAACTTGATAACTGGCGATATTGAAGCTGAAGAAGTTGGTAGTGGAGTACGTTAAAGGAACCTTAAATATTAACTTATCCATGGCTACGTAACGAAGTCGTGCCTTTATCTAAACACTCGTAGTGAAGCACGTCGGCCAGAGTGCATTCACTTGGAAGGAATCAGCTACCGGTATCTTCCATTCCACGCGTATGTCGTTATCTTTTGAACACAAATTTTTATCAGACTACAATGTCGCATGTGGCAGGCAACGATTAACGATCAAATAAAATTAGACGACACATTTTGCTGCCTTTTACAGTTATCATTAATGATATTATAAATTAGGGGGGAAGCTCAGGCATACCGGTAATCGTTGGCAAAATGTGGTCGATGTGCCACGTATTGGGTGCATTGAGCTTCTTCTATACGGCTAGCGGTAAGTAATCGAATACCTATTATTCCAGCGTGCCCTAGTGGTACTTATTCAAAGGGCAATGTTTTTGTACGCGAAGGGATTAATAATGGCAAGTTAGTGGACGTCAGAAAGTTTCCATATGTGGTCGCCATCTTACTCGAGTCGTCTCTAGATTCGTACAGTTGTACCGGAGGCATCGTTAGCGACAAATTCGTTATATCCGCCGCCCATTGCTTCTCCACATCGAGACCCTATAACGAATTATTTTTCAAAACCAAGCAAAACTACCAGGAACGCCTGGTGAAGGTCTACCCCGGCGTGAATAACGTGCGTCAAATCAAGACGACCGACTGGTACGCGCTGGCCGTGGAGATTTACATCTTGAAGAAGTACTTTGTAGATATCATCGCTGACATTGCACTGTTGAAGGTACGCCGAGTGCCACTCGTTAGGATCGCTCGTAAATCTCAATTGTGCAAAATGCGTTCCTTACAGTTGGATCGTAGCCTCGGCCAATCGCGAATTCCTTTCCAAAAGTTGAAAATACCGGATCAGGACAAAGGCGTGGAATCTGATTACAAGCGCGGCGTATACTGGACTGCTGGCTACGGGGAGGACCCGTCAAAGGACAAAACTAATCCGCAAAATGCGGGATGCTTGAAGCAGATTTTTACCGTTCCTATAGCGCGTGACAAATGCAAAGGAACGAAAGCCATTCCTATCAAAGATACGAAACAATTGTGTTGCCTAAGTGTCGAGAACGATGCTACGTTGGAACTGCCGAGCGTTCCATTAGGAACGTGCCGAGTGAGTATCCGGCTTATGAATTTCAGGAGCAGAACACTTTCGGAGAACAAAGTTTGATCGATGTCACTTTTGTGTGCGCTCCAACAGGGCGACAGCGGCAGTCCGATTGTTATGCGTACCAAAGGCACCGATCAAGAGACTATCATAGGCCTAGTGGGCACAGGACGCGAAACGTACGACAGCCGAAAGACTCCGGAGATACACATAAACGTTGCAGCTTTCGTTGACGACTTTATAAAGCCCGTTATCGAGGACCGCGTCATCAGCTATCCTACTATTGGCAAGTACCGCAGTAAAGTTTAGTAAAGCACTCGTCGGCGTCATCTTTCCAAAAAAATAAATCGACATCCACAAACTGTACAGCGCTACTAGTTACCGGTACTAGTGGGAGTTGGCTGATGCCGAGAATGGCAGTGACGATTTGCGAGATATTTGGCGTGATCCCGCGTATGGCAGAACGGTCCTGTTACGCAATAATAGTATATATAATCAAAATTATCGTGAATACAATTGCTTCTAAATTAATTGGCAATCTCGTAAAATAATTAAATTAACTCAGAGTCAAGGTTCATTTTTCCCTTGGAAGTTCTTTCTTTGATTTAATTCAATCGACGTCGTCGGCAGTCAAAAATCAAGGAGGATTGTCGTTTGTTGGGTCGTGTGCTTGAAAGAAAAAGTTAGAACCACGTTATGACAGTGTAAAACAGCTCGTTAGAAACGACTAGCCTGTGCTAGTGGGATATTCGAATAGATAAAAAAGTTTTTGTGTTTTTTATTCGGGAACCGTTATTTTTCCATACCGGTTTCGAGTAGTTCTTGTCGTACCAACGAAGCGATTGATCCTTAAAAAATAAAGAAACTCTCGAAGTTATTTATATGAAGAAAGAGTTTAATTCTATTTTATTAAGTACTCATAGTTATCTTGTTTTTTCTCATTAATAAAACTTTTTTCATTCCTGATTTTCAAAAAGGTTATTGATTTATTTGAGAGAACTGGCCCAGTGTTGGCTCAATGCTATCTACCGTGCAGTGTTCTACGTCCGCGAGTTTTATGAGGAAATAACGTTCAACACTCATTTTGCTTTTATATAATTTTTATTATATATGAAAAATACGAAGGGGGGGGGGCAAAGCGGTTTCCGGGACTTTCTACGTAAGGAGACATCGGACAACGAACATCGGCCATCGGACATTTACCATGGTAAGAAAAGATATTTGAATGATATATTATTGTACTGATAATGTTAATATAGCAGATGTATATTTTTTAGCATTGCTCGCATCCTACGCACTCACAGACAGACCCAGATGTTAAACAAACGATTTGTTTTTTAATTTGATAATCTCGGTACACGTATGATGTCTGTTGTCCGACGTCCGATGTGTCCTTATATAGAAAGCCTCTTAATTACACTTACGAGCTGCATCACTAGATGCTACCGTTTCTTTTGTAATTGTTTTGCGTTGCAAAGCTAATACCAAGCCTAAGACACTATCAATAGGCGAGATCCGTGTATGCATGTCAGTTATAAAACATGCAGGCAGATGGGAAAATTAGTGAAAGACAGAAGAAGCGTGTATCGCAAACGTTACGGGACAGTCCCTCATCCTTATCGCAGCGCAGCAGATAAGCATGTGTACTCTTACAAAAGCATCGAGCGATGCGGCCCACTCTCAGTAACTCCATCGCCATAGTCCGACGCAGAGTAGACGCAGTACGCGATATTCATAATGCTGCGCACTTTACTCGTCGGCATCTTGTTCAATGCCAACGTGAACGCGTTCCATATTGACAATTCGGTGGTGATGGAATTCGCCGAGCAGCTAGCCGCAGATTATTTGATCGCACGCGAGTCGTCCAACATTAGCATCGAAAACTTCGCCGTCGTGGATTTCGAGCAGTCGAATAAGTCAGAGCGAGAACTTCGCGCCCAGCTGCACAATATTTATCAAGTAATCGCTTTAGATAAGCCATGCACTCTCAGCGAATCTGTTAGACGAGACGCGGCGAACGCTACCGTTACGACGTTCGAGAGGCTGAAGGATGACAAAGTTGTGCTCGTTTGGTACGACGAGTCACGTGCGTATCAAGATCGACGTACGAGAATCATGGTGATGCATTTGGAAAGTTGTCGTGTTATCAATCGCGATATGAGCGACCTTCATGGTGATCCGATAGTTGTGCCGAAGAGCAACGGCGACTTTGACATTTTCGCGAATGATAAAGACGCTTGCAATAGTGCGAGATGTGTGATTAGTTATCGTTTGGAATTTGACGACTATAGCAAGCCTAAGCCGTTTGCTGTTGATCTGGATTGGACCAATTTACAAATCGAACGCTTGTCGAGCGGAGATTTCGTTGTGCGTGGATTTAAAAGTAGCGTTTACAAGGTTTTGTTGATGAACCGATTGACTGGACAGACTAAAGTTTTGATGTCAATATTGGCTGTCAATCCGAAACTAGAATTTTTATCATCAGGATTATCATTCTGTTGGACAATGCCAAGTGTTGACATTTCAATGCGTTGTGCTCAATTTAACGACCGAGGTGAGTTGATTTTTTCGTCAACAGCTCTGTTCAAATCTAGTACGAAGGTGACATTGATCCACGTGCACGATATCGCCGAGGGACAAATTGGTCTTATCTTTGGAGAAGTTGGATGTTCGGAATGTTGGGATTTGATCGTGGCTAGAATTAATCAATCTCAGATACATCCAATTGTAAATTTCGAACAGGCTAAGTTTCGCTGTACTGGGGACAGAAAGAAATTAGCGATTTTTTATTTTATGCCTAAAGATGCTCACAGTACTGATATCCGATACGCGTGTAGATATAAAAATGGTTATGCTTACGATAGGAATTTCATCACAACGGGGCTCAGTAGCCAGAATAGCAGCACGTTCCTGCCGGCTTGTCAGAAATACGATGGTGATGAGCAATTGTATTGTACGTGATTTTTTTCATAATTCGTACACACTGTACAGCTGCTGGTCTAATTGAACGGCTGAACTTAGATAAAAAGTTATAATCAAGATCAACGAATTCTTTTTTGATAAAAAACGCATTGATTTAAAACAATTTTGCTATATTTAAAGCAATCTTATACACAAGAAGATAGGTGAAAAACCGTACTACATAAATGATAAAACGCATTTTGTGAATGAATGTATGTAATTATACAAATTATAAATATGAAAAATTTATAAATAATAATAAAGAGATGGCAGTGTGATTTAATTATTTTTATTAAAACATGTATTGATAATAAAAGATCTGATCAGAGTAACGATGACATTATAGAGCCTTTATTGCACAAAATACTTACACTTAATCTTGAGATACAAAAATACTTACGCAAGTATGTTCATTTGCCGATTCGATTGAATCTTTGAGATTATCATTTGACAAAAATTTTTCGACAAAACCAAAGCAAAATTTAGACAATTCAAATCCTTTTCTCGCACTTTCAATCAATATTGTCTATTTCTTCTCGTATGCTATTCGTATATCTATCGAAAATGCTTTTCGTGTGCGGTCTTGACAAATTTACCGACATCATTTCAATCAGTTTTCGAAACGTTACGATTTTTAAAGATTAAATTCAAAATTATTACTTATAAATTCAAACGATGTACATATCATTTTAAAAACTAGAATTAACGATGCCTGTGACAAACTTGAAAGAAAATTCTAAGATTAAATTTATCAACAAATCACACGTTGTTTTTTTCCAAAATTTACAATAAAGTTCATTGTTACAGCCAGCTTTATACTATATTGCTTAGTTTAATCGCCTTCCGACATTGAAATAATAGCTCATCTGAGTATCAAACAATTCATCCGTTCGTATAAAACCAATCGAACTCACTCGATAAAGGATTAGCGCACCGAAAACATACCAAATGAGGGTATTTACTAAGGCCTTTCGTAATCCTCTATAAGGTGGCTTTCCCATTCGCAGTAGGCCCAACTTTGCTTAGCCCTTGAATGCTGATGCAAATTTGAGCGTACTTACGCAGTTTCTAAGATGAGCTACATAAATTTGTCGAGTGACGGTCCAACCATTTAGATAGTCTTGAATTGGAGAGGAAGCATTGCCGAAGCGCACGTCGCCCTCGTCACAGCTGATTGTCATTCCTTGTTTTTGGCGAGATGGTATGACTTTTTTTATTTGAATTTGAGTGCATGCTGAGAAAATATATCGTTCTCAGTTTTACTTTGACACGCGCCGAGAAAACTCCAATCATTCAAGTTTTCTTACTATGTTACCTATTGAGATGGACTTTGTTGGCACGATACAACTGCAGAATTATTGATTAGTGCATTGCTGAGTTATCTGTTATGATAAATTTTGTCAGATTTAATATTTTCATATGTTAAGAGAGTGGTTTTTCGTAAAATAAAATGAAGCTTATAGTAAGAAACATCGATTGTACAGCAATGCCGCATTGCGTTCAGCGCAAGATTTTTCATTGTTGATTCTCAGTAATACGTAAATTTTTAAAAATGTTTGAAAACTATTGCTAGGCATTAATCTCGACGTTGACTGCGCATTGATAAGTTTTGCGTTTGAAATAAGATAACAAAAGCATGCGGTCGCCAACGCGATGAACGTAAGATTCTGTTACAGTTTAGGTTCAGATCATCTAAGAAAAGACTCGACCGCGAAGTTCGCAAGCTAGTGAAACAAAAGAAAAATGAGAAAATCATATCCATCATCAAAACATACAATTCGTCAGACTTGATAGACTGCAAAGGCACGACGATCTTCCACTTGGCCGCCCAGTACAGTAATGTCGATTTGATTAATATCCTGTTGAGCTGCGGCTACGACATAAACGTACGCGATACGCAAGGAACGACGCCGCTACTGACGGCGATCCACCACAACAACTTGGAAGTTGTAAAATTATTGCTCGACGCAAAAGCGGATATTTTCGTCCCTAATGCAACCGGGCAGACACCGCTGCAACTGCTGGGCGATAAGAAAAATGAGTTACCAGCGAGCGTGACGGAAAACCTGTTGAACCGATTGAAGAACTGCCGTGGAAACGCCAGAGACACGGCGCGAACGCTAGTGGACGCTCATTGTTCGCTCGAATTGGCGTTGATGTTGGAGAGAGCAGACGTGACCGAAGCCATGCTGCAACACACCGAAGAGCTGTCTGGACACCACACACGTGATCTTTTACTCGCCGCGATGAATTCTACATATCTGGAGAACGTCCCGGTACTTTTACAGCATGGCTCTAAGGCTGCCTTCAGGAAGGGCAAGTTTCTGGAAATTCTCGCGGAGCGTATCAAAGGTTCGGCGTTCGAACTGGAATCTATAAGGCCGTTTTTGCTCAAGCTACCCGATTGGGATGTCGTCGATGCGAACTTCATTGAGTTTCTGCAGAAGGTGTTCGAGAAGTTGGAGAAGCCAGTGCTGGACAAGCTGCTAGAGTGCAAAGTCGATGATTACGTGAGGCGCAAATTTGAAATGGAGCTGTTGGTGCATGCGGTTGTGAATCGTAACGACAACGTGATCGAGCTGTTGCGCGATGAGAATTTCCACGTCGACGCGCGTGACCAGAGTGGACAAACTGGATTGCACATCGCGACGATTCACGGGTACCCCGATAGAGTGCAATATTTGTTAGACAGAGGCGCGAATCCGAATGTCCTTGATAAAAGAGGCCAATCGCCGTTGATTTTAGCTTGGGATACCAAGTGTATTAAACTGCTATTACGAGCTGGCGCTGACGTTCAAATTATCGATCACAGTGGTCTCACAGTTTTCGAAAAGAGCAGTAAACTTTCCGAACCGATATGTCTTTTACTCGGCCATCTGGCGATCGTCGAAGATTGCGGGGTTAAGATTAAACGTAAGATATTCAATCAAATTAATTATCATGATGATTTCAGACAATGTTTTGATAAGTGTAGGATGCAGATCGAGCGGATGAAGATGCAGGAGATTAGAACAGCTCTGACACTTTATATGTGTTTGGTTCAAAAACCTGAAAATTTGATTAAACACGTGCGACATCGTGAAACTGTTATTTCGATATTGGACTGCGCCAGAAAACTTAGATTACCACCTTTTTATGTGTCTACAGTGGAGTATAATCTAAATAGAACCCTGAATATGATTATACGTTGACGTATTGCTGCATGATCATGATATTGTTAATACTCTGTGATTTCATTTCCCTTAAAAACTGTCTTCTTATTCCTACGAGTTTTATAAGAATTTATGAATCACATTGTATTATTATGTGCAAGTAATGAATTTATTATCATTCATTTAACAATATTTGTTAATTAATATTTATTGACTTTTGGATATACAGCGTTAATTTCCAAAGATTTGCATTTGGCATAGTAAATGTATAATAATATGTCACATTGTCGCTAATTTTACGTATCTCCTTTCATTTAAGTGAACCAAACACTTTTTCTAAATCTATCTTCATTATAATTGCAAGTCTCTGTCTTATCAAGTTATTATACAGGTACATACAGGGTGTTTAGCTATATAGATAATGGATGGTATACCAGGTTGGATTCCGCTTCTCTTTTAAATAAATCGAATTAGCAGTTGTGCCTGACAATTGAACTTTCTTTGTTCTTTGTTCTAATATATTTGTTTATGATCTCAAACTTTTTGTAGTATATATTTATATTGATATAGTTATATTATTCATGAAAAATATTGTCAGTCGAAATTTCTACTTTCAACAATCAACATAACTATCAACTTCTCAACTGATTAACCGTGAATATTTCGAAGTTTTTATTAGATTATAAGTTTAATTAAAAATTGTTTTTTATTAAATTATATTGCAACGAATGAGTCAAAATTACTCATAGTATTTTATAATTCAATAAATTTATAATTCTCTTCAATATTGATGACGTGTATTCGAAGTTAAATTTTGTAGTAGATATCAAAAATATGTTGAGTTAAACTGTCAGGCGCATTTGAAAAAGAAAAAAAGTAAAATTAACTTTATGCGCTACACGTTACTTACATAGCTAATCATTTAAAAGTCTGTTGTAATTAATTTTGAAATTATCGCTAGATTGGCAATTCAAAGCATACAGTTGTTTTATGTTTGTACTGCATTTTATAATTATTATATTTTGTGTATAATAATTTGGACTTGATTCAAGCATGAAACTAAATATTATTTAACAGAAAAATAAGAGATTAGCGTGCGAAGCGCGCTTGACGACACTAGTTACATACAAATAATGCATGCTGTCACATAAGATACGGCCACATATGCGCGTTCAGACGCGTTAATGCAACCGCGTAAAAATTACTAAAAGTACTTAGTTATATCTTATTATAATGCCACCTTGTAAAAAAAAGTCATTATATTAGTTTTGTTTCGAATGATCAAAACGAATATACCGCTTTAATTGACTATAACCTAATACGACCCTCTAAAATTAATAAAATGATTATTGATTGTAAAACAGTTTTAAGATCAACTCCAGTGTAAATAGTCATTTTATTAATTTTAGAGGGTCGTATTAAGTTATATTCACTTAACGCGGTATGATCGTTTTGATCGTACGAGGCAAAACTAACACAGTGACTTTTCTATATAAGGTGGCATTATAAGATATAACTAAACACTTCTAATGATTTTTACGCAGTTGTACGCGTGTTAACGTATTTGAACGCGTATTTGTGGTCGTACCTACAATAATACTCCGCGTGACTACGTAGCGATCGGTCCGATCACGAATAAAATGACTTCATTCAATCGGCATGCCACCATTTTTTTATATTGTTATATTGTTTCGAGGTCAAAGCGTCATAATATTCGTACAATTATAACATTAAGATAAGATATAACTCCAAAAATGAATAGAACCAATGTAGTAAACAATTTGACTCGTAAAGACTACGAGGTGGCTCATGTGGAAAAAACAAAGCGACCATTAGAGATCCAAGTTAACGAACACATCAAGAATGATAAATATCTATACAAATGAGATAATGTATATAAAAACTTTTGTTTTTGAATATTGTTGGAAAAAAATGCTTGATATCCGAATCGGAATGATTCTTTTAGAAGAATACGCATTAGTATTAACAAGAAAGAAGACATTACCGAATTGAATAATGTATATAATTTTTTAATCCATGTTTTAGATGTAGGCTATGCGAAAAGCAATTCGAACACATTTTGCTTAATTGACTTTTAAATATTCTTTTGATAGGCGGTCATTTCGCTCTGTTATAATACCTGTATAAGATTTATGATGCAAATAATGCACATGTGACTATTTTATAACATTAATTTATAAAATAATATTTTCAATAAAGTTTCCTTAGTAGATTCCTTAGTAGCATTATTATCGGTTCGCACATACATTCACACGCACTTTTCGCGGCTTTGTCAATATACCTAAACCAAACAACAAATTAATTACAATTAGATAAAAAATGATATATAGCACTATATAGAGATATTACTTTTCAATTAACTCATGAAACTTTTCAATTAACTCATGAACAATTTCGTTGTAGCCTAACTTGTAGGCCATTAAACATTTTTACCAACTTTTTTTTCAACTGAAGGATTTCGTTTTAGACTCCTATTGATTCCAATTACAATTACCCATTGCATTTAAGAACTTTGCTTTAAAGGGAAACTTGATAATCGATGCATAGAAATGCTGTTACCAGAAAAAGAAACTAAAATGTAATAAAAATAGTAGATTTCAAGAAAAAATTTAAAGAAATGAAAGGCATATAACCTAGAATAAAAATTGATACTAACGTGACTAATTTCTTAAGTGACTTTATAATCATATAAATTTTCGTGTCATTTTTCAAATTTTTGATTCTGCGTACATTTTGATAGCCCTCCCTCCCACTCCGCCCTTTAGAGGTAAAAAACCGATATATACTAGAGGTAGGATAAATGAAAATCGTTGGTTTTTTTGCATGAAGAAATTAAAATCTCTATAGAAAAAACAAATGATTTTGAACGTTCATTTATGATTTAAATAAAAAACGATTTCCAAATTAAGCTGCGACCATAGACACATAAAAACTAGACTACTACTGACGCCTGACGACGTGGTTCCAAAATGCTCAGCAGACGCATGAATAGCACAAATGCTACTAGTTATATGATGTCTATATACCTATATAGTCTATGTCTAAATAATCTGTATGGATGTGTGCGTGCGCGTGTATGTTTATATATATATATATATCTATATAATTCCATGTTTTAGCCAATCAATTAGACACAGTCTCTATGATGTAGATATTTTTATATAAAGATTTGTATATTCGCTGCTTTAACCCATGGAAATTGGAGAGTATATATATCCCTATAGTCTCCATAATCCATAATAATCTAACCTTCACTTCAACCATTTATACTATTTCCCCTTTATATTTGTAAATCTAGTTTTTTTAATTATGAAAGACTGTACATGTGATTCTTGATTAAAAATAATAAATCAGTAAAGGTGAAAACAGTGATATTTTACCTTCGCGCAATATATTGCTGTTTCTGTTTGTACTTATAAATTCGCCGTTATAGATTTTTAAATATAAAATGTACTTCTTACCAACATCGGACGACTAAATAAGTTGTAATTATAATTATGCATTAACCTATTGCTAATATCTCCATCTAGAGATATAACCGAATGTATATTTTAAAATGTTAGAAAAAACGCACAAGTCTTCTTAAAAATAGTTTGATATAATGTGAGAGGAACAAAGAATTTAGATAAAATAATTAATAAGCGAATAAAAACTTAATGAATTGAGTATCGGGAGATGTTCCAAAAAAACGTCAAACTCTAATTTACTCTCTAATTTTTACGAGTCAATTAATTTTTTGACGTACATATATATAGTTAAGACTCATGACATGGAATATGAGTTCCTCGGGAGGACCGTCCATCACCGATGCGAAAACAGCTCGACACAAATAACATTTTATAAAAAAAAATGATCACATCTCACGTATGTCTAATTGTACTTCTCGAAAAAATAATTATTTGTTATTGTACCATTATATTTCTGAGAAAAAATAAAAAACATCGTTATCGATAATAATTGTTATTTATTCACATAAAAGACATAATTAAGCAAAAATAAATTCACAGAAAAATTGTACCTCCTGTAGTCTAAATTGTACCATCAGTACAATTCTATAAATTTGTTTCTAAAAGAAATGATAGGACAATTAAAAATTACCACTAATTGTTACAACTTACAAGGATGTCATCCGGAAATGCACTTTGCGCAGGCGTAGAGCTTTGTAATTGTCCTATTATTTCTTTTAGAAACAAATTTATAGAACTGTACTGATGGTACAATTTAGACTACAGAAGGTACAATTTTTCTGTGAATTTATTTTTGCTTAATTATGTCTTTTATGTGAATAAATAGGAGGTGAATTATCGATAACGATATTTTTTATTTTTTAGGAGAAATATAATGGTACAATAACAAATAATTATTTTTTCGAGAAGTACAATTATACATACGTGAGATGTGATCATTTTTTTTAATAAAATGTTATTTGTGTCGGGCTGTTTTCGCATTGGTCCATCCAGGTCGAGGTTCAAAGAATGGGGGAGCGGAGCGGAGGCAATTCGCAGCATATATAATTCTAGTTTCCTTTCTGCTACGCTATCCAAACGTCGTCTGCTACAGGAAGTTTGAAATCATCAGCCTGATTGTTTGGAGCTACTTTTTTGTCATATTTGTTTACTCTTACAGTGTTGATGATGGTTGCACTGCAAATATAAACATGTCATTATCATTTATGTGATTATAAGCCTGTCTGCAGAAAGGTCTAATTTTCCACGATATTCCATGAAAATAAATTTACAAACATTAGAGCATTTCTCGTGAGAAGTGAAAAATTTTTAAAATTAATGTTAAATGTTACAAAGTCGATATACCCATAGTATACGTACAATTAAAGTTTTTTATGCACGCATAATTACGTAAATTACATGAAAAAATGTCATGTAACAAAAAGACGCAGTCTAAATAAAATTATTGACTTGAATGTGATATTGTATAATACATAATTATAGCTTTCATTCGCGCTGCTGTTATGTTTGATATATTTTTCTAAATGAAACAATGTTAACGCCTAAATTAGAAAAAATAGTAAGTATTGAGGTAACGTCACGACAAAAACTAAACAATATTCAAATATGTTTTTACATCTAAGTTCTCTTGTTATATGCATAAGCAAACATTGGACGTCGGGCGTTGGCCATCAGAGTCATTAGACGTATACACACCCATGGTTAAAGAATATATTATGATAGTCAAAAGGATAGTCCGGAGAGTCAAAAGATGTATTATTGTGCTAATAATGTTCTGTATTTGTTATCCTCCGTACTGCTCGCATCGCTCGCAATCACGGACACAATCAGATATTAAACAAACAATTAGTATTTTACCTTGGTGATCTCGACACACGTCCGATGTCCATGTTACCCGACGTCAGATGTCTCCTTACATAAAAAGCCCCTAAACCTCGAAGAGAAAAATAAAGTTGCTTAGAGAAGCAGCTCTGCAATTGACAGTTCGTAACGGCGAACGTAACACAGCGCGGTTGTTCCAGCTGCTCGCAGCGACATGTATAGGGGGATATGCACACCATTGTGTCTTCCGTGAGATAGAAACGGCTACTATATCCCCACTGTACATCGCGTAGTACATCACGAGCCGTTTGAGGGATTACAAAGTCTACCTGTTTTAATCTAAATATCCGGGTAAGGGTCTTTAAGAATATATATAGCATGACGAAGTTATGGGAATGACGTCAGTAACAATCATATATTTTAACGTACGTAATATGAATACTGAAAATTATTTTTTTTTTTCATTGTTTCATCGTTTCATAAAATTTTTAATTTACTTATTCTTGAATGAATAAAAAACATTATTAGAAAAATTGAATTATAAGCCATTAAACATCATTAGAAATATTGAATTAGAAATTGAATTATTATTAAACTAAAATGTCTTTACGATAATTGAAACTCGTGCTTTATCGAAACGTCCTTGTTTATAACATTGCATACGATAAAAGTGCTAATTAATATCCAACCGTACGAGACGGACGACATATACATTTTATATACCATGTCATTGGCGTAAAAACTGATGTATTATACTTTATTGCTTGAAAAAACAGCGCGCGCACACAGCGCGGTCACGCTATTAAATGTAGTAGTAACCAATAACCCTATCACACACATCAACAAGTCGCCGTCACGCGCAAGCGCACTAGTATCGTATCGATGGTTGTCCAATATGGCCGGTACTCCGGTTTCGCGCTCACACGAGTAACCACGTGTACGAGAAAAACCGGACGATTTTTCGACTATTAATCAATTTTGTACACGCACTGATCATTGATAAATACACAATTAATAGCGAATGTGTCGTGCGCATATTAATCCTCGCTAAAAAGTTCATGTAAGATCCTTACGGGTTATATATAAACGCGAGTGCCGGTGCGTGATGAGTGACAAACTAAGGTGATCTCTCGCGCTCTCGGTAAGAACTTTGATTATTTCTACCGAGCGACTTGGACTATATACGTGTGCAACGGTATATTTGGTAAAGGCAGATTCTGAAAGATTTTGTTGTAAGTTTGACAGCTTTGTCAATTGGTTCGTTTTTGTCATTGAACGTTGGAAAGCGTTCAACGCGCCCATCGCCGACGCTCGGTTTTATTGATCGCGCGAGAGAGAGAGAGAGCGAGCGAGCAAGAGTCTGTCCGCTCCACACACACATACACACGTATACATATATACTCTTCGTACTGCTTTGCCCGTCAAAATGCTTATTAACTGGAAGCTTCGAGCACGTGCTTAACGGCGTTGTTAAATAATCGTTTTTCTTTAATCAACAGTGTTGTGTGCTTTGTTTACGTTCTCGGTGAATAGCGACAAAAATTTTTCATGGTCAATAGCGGGATATAACCGCTACTGTATATGTGTGCTGCTGTGTAAAAGCCTCCTGAGCAAGCGAGAGTTCAAGTGTGTGCTCGACGTCTCTTTTTGTAACAAAGTGAATGTCGTGGGTGTTGCTTTCTAATAACTGTTATCTTTTTTTATTATGTGTCGTGTCGTACATGTGCACTATTTAGCATACTGTGCAGTGAAACGTGGTTTTCTTTCCTATGAAAATGAGCTCAGCTCTAGAAATAAAAATTAATTGTGATTTTTCAAGTTCACAATACATTACATAGACAGTGGGAGAATCTGAGGTCAGACACACAGTTTATCTTACTGTTTCTTTTTTTATTATACCCAACGGCAAGAAATGTGAAAGAAAATCTCCATTTATATTAACCATGAATGAATGTCAACGTGTTTGTTCGTGTGCGTACGTCAGTACTTGCATCCACAGTGAGCGCACGCGCGTGCGCGTGTGTAGGTGGATGTGGGTGTGCGTGTCGCATATAAATTGACAAATGTGCATATGTGTATGGCACACAGATGAGTCAACATCACTCCATGTACAAAAATATCTTTATATTCTTTATATATATATAAAGATTCTCTTTTTTCGCTGGCTTTACTGGCGTATACACGCACACACATATACGCTCATACGCTCGGGTTTCTCTTGATGTCTCCCTTCCTCTCTTATTCGCTTGCGAAGCAGTTGCTGTCTCTCTCACTCGCGTACGCTCTGCTTCTCTCTCTTTTTCACTCGCGTTCTCCTTGTCTGTCTCTCTATTTGCTTGCTTCCTCCCCTCTTTCGTATTCGCTCTCGCTCTTTCTATCCCTCGTTGCAATTGTGATTTTGATCATATATATATCAGCTTTCTGAGCGTCTAAATACGTCTAGATAATATCATGCTCCGTTTACAATGAAAATATTCTATATTCAAATCTAATAATAAGACACGCGAAGTGAAAGTAAGTTAGTTACACTGGCGATATACTAGCGATTAACCCCATTTTTTTTCTACGACGAAAACGTACTTTCGCCACTGTGTGGTAACGCATAGGTCGCTTGTTTTCTGATCTACATCTTTTTTTCTTTATTAAAACTACTTATTCTTTTAGTGCAAACCTCGAATATCTCTTACATTGATATGTTGACCTCATTTTGTTCGAAGGAAACTTATTTTGGATAAGATGTAGATCGATGTTGCATAATTTCGAAGTTTATAACGCACACATGATTTCAATTGATTAGACTTTCCTAAGTGAAAGGTATAGCCCACATAAAAATATGAGTAAGGGGGGTTCTCGCGAAAAATTATATTCGACAATCGCGTTTAGTACAGTTAACCAAGTATAGTTGATTGCTGCTTTCAGTTTTCACGAAAGGAAACTAATTGAATTTGTTTGTTTACAGTCGACGTAACGGAAACACGTGGATGTGACTATCATTGTTTTGGACGATTTTGAAGTAAATCAACAACTAATCGTACGTGGTACGAAATCCACCGAGTTTGGGATTTGATCGAGTATTTTTACAATGATATATCTCGCTTCAGTCTTGAGTCAACTCAGGATACAATATCAAGGCTAATTTTTAGGATAGACATCAAGGGAATCCTAATGAAGTCTGACACTATGAGGTAATGCTTTCTTTCACGCTTGCTTTACCTTCGACGCTCTAATGGACGTATACATCGCTTAATAGTACTGATTTCCTTTCATTTATCTTTGCAGGATTTCCGACTTCATTCTCCTCGAAATGGTATGATGAATTTTTTTATTTATCTTAAACACTACAAAAAATGTTTTTGATGTGCTACATACTTAAATAAATTTTTCTCGGATATAGAACATTTTTATTGTAATAATAAAAGGAAATTCTAAATTAACACTTTTTCTAATAAGAAGGATGTTTTTGAAAGAACTCTTTTTGTAGTGTAAACAATTAATTTGTCGTTTATTTGATGAAGTGTATACCAATACTAATTAACCGAATAATTTGTGCGTTTTTAGGTTCTCGCTAAAGAAAAGAGCAACAAGAACAATAAGACTTTGAACATTTCAGAATTACACAGTCTGATAAAGCAAGGAGAAAATGCAGATTTTAAGTCTATGGTGAAAAATATCAGAGCATCGGACCTCGTCGACATTCGAGGCACGACGTTATTGCACGTAGCAGCAAAGTGCAACAATGTCGAAGTAATAGAGTATTTATTGACTTCAGAATGTGATATTGACGCGAAAACGTCGCGGGGTACAACGCCTCTGCTTACAGCAGCATTACACAATAATTTCGAGTCAGTACAACTTCTTTTAGGAGCCAATGCTGATATTTTGATACCCGATGCCTCGGGTAAAACAACTCTGCAAGTATTACTGCAGGAGAACCGAGGTGTACCTGAATACGTGATTGCAAGTGTCTTCGCAAGACTGAAAAAAAGTGTTCTTGGACCTGATAAGATTGCGGAAGTGCTGATACAAGCAGGCTGTACAATCGATCGAGTTTTGCTGATGAACGACCCCGAGGTGACACGAGTCATGCTGAATCTGACAGATTTGATTGGTGAGAACGAGGCACGTCTTGTATTGCAGCATGCCATGGAATCTGGTACATTGGAGAATGTCGAGGTGCTGCTACATCATGGTGTCGGTGCCAATGCCAGGAGACGAATTTTTCTAAACAAATTAATGGCTGACAGTGAGGACTTTAGTATGAGGCCTTACATTGAGAATCTAGTCGACTGGGACGTCATCGACGAAGAATTCGTGCAGTTTCTTGAGGAGACATTCGTCGCTGGGAATAAGCATATAATACGTATGTGGTTGAATTACGGTCTCGACGAGCACGTCTGGGACAAGTTTGGTCGTGAATTGGCTGTGAATATATTCGAGAATCCAATGGTTGACCCAACAGCATTGATGCAAAAAATACCATTCGTCATCGACGCACCAGGCAAGTTCGGCAGAACGGCGCTACATTTCTCCGTGATGCGCCAATCCTTGACGAGCATTCAGTTCCTTCTTGATAGAGGCGCAAATCCCAATTGTCCCGATGAATTCGGCAATCCACCATTGTTTTACGCCAAAGACGAGGAATGTGTTCAACGTCTACTGAGTCATGGAGCTGATCCACAATTAATTCATGCTGAAAAACGTGCTACCCTTGAAAGAAATGGTGATTTATATAGCGAACTTGATTTTATGTTAGCTCACCTCGCTATACTCGACGCTCAAGGTGCGTCGATTTGACATAATTTTTTACCAAGATCATCCTCTTTAGCGCTAAGCGTCAGAGTAGGTTTCACGAAGCTCGGAGGAAGTATCTTTCGAGTTTTCAAATGTCACAGAAAAAACGTTTCTAAACGTATTCTAATGTTCATTCGTAATTAAACTAAATTTGGAAAGCTTCAAAAAGAAAAAATACGGTTATTAACTCGTGCATCATTTTAGGCCTACAGTTGTTATCATTCTCTCTATATCTATAAAAATACTAGTTTAATTATTTTTTTTTATTAAATTCTATTTGGATGACAACATTTTGTATTCGCTTTGTGTTAAGCGTGCATTTACTTTCATTTGGCTTATTGGGTTATTGAAAACCATAAATGTGTGCTCTCATTGTACACAAATGTTATTCTTCTATCAAATACCTTAATAGGTATTTTAATGTTCTATATTAATTGTATTTTTATTGCCAGTGATATTAGTATACATGCTTTACATGGTATTTGTTAAAAAATTTTGTTCAAAATATTTATATTCCGTAAAATTTGAGAACATCACGAGTGCAATTTCGTTAGTTTGTGTTTGAGTATCCTTTTTAACAATTATATAAGTTTTCAATAACAATGTAACTCAAATAAAATATTAAAGTTCATAAATCTAATGTCAACGGTAGAAAATTAGTCAGAATCCGGTAGAAAATTTAAATATACATATATACATAATAATATCATAATTACATGCTTATAGATATTTGAGAAATACCTATACATATAAACCAATCAAATTTCGACAAAATAATAAATTTTTATGTATGTATAAATGAAATCAAATATACTTGAGGGTTGACAGACGCTCTGAAGAGAGCGAAAAAGGGTATATAAAAAAAGCAACATCTATGTAGGCCTAAATTGTCGAGAAAGAAATTTGTGGCTACGTAGTACTGAATGTTGATGCGGCATCTTGAAATAATTATTATTTATTCGTATCTACCAAACCAGATCGATTAGTCCAATAACTATTATACCAGAATTATCTACATGAAGATTGCTTAAATGTTCTAAATGGAAAGAAAATAAGTTATGAGTAATACAAAACGATGAAATTTTTACATGCAGCACGGCGAAAGTGATATTTCATTATCAGTCCTTTTTTGTTATTTCATTTTCTTATGTAACATATTTAACGTTTCCATGTATCAATTGCCAAAAAAAAAACTTAAAAACACGGAAAAAGAAGAATTTAGGCCCCACATGCGATGTTTCTAACTGATAATTTGAAATATGATAAGTTGCTTATTCGGTATTTCAATTTTAAAATAATTATTGATTTGGTAAATCCGTATATTCTAAATCTGTGGAAGAGTCGTGTGTATTATGCTATTACGAAAATTACTCATAATTTAGGTTTCTATAAAGTCTTAGACAATACGAATATCAAAAATAGTAATTTTACTTCCTCTTTCACTATCGTGAGTTGCGATATTATATATTATATAATATCATTAGAAACGATGCTATCAGTCTATAGCTATTAGCTGTAGATGCAGTAGCTATGAACTTTTTTTAATCTCCTGTAGAATCGATGTATAACGGTTAAAAAAGAATTAGAAATTTGTTCAAATCACTCTTTGTGCCGTATATGTTGATAGACTCTCCTCAGAGTTTTTTCATCTATACTTATAACTAATCTTTCTATGTGTCATTTTTATCATCGGAAGGTTTATTACTTTTTATGTATTTTTAAGTTTAACTTGTACATATTGTATAATAAATTTTTGTACATGCGAAAAGGGTTTGTCAGCCCCGTTAATGAATAAACAAAAAAAAAATGAAAAATGAAACGATAACTCGAAAGCCCATACATTGTCATACGACGTCATTTGATGTGATGACTTTTCTTTCTTTTTTTCTGCATGTGTGAACGTAACAAAAATTAATAAGGGAAATGTTTTATAAATATTTTCAAAGGGAATTTCATTATTATTTGACAGACATTGCTCGCATGCGGATATGAAAAAAGGGAAAAACTATTTGTATATCTTGTAAACAGCTGGCAAAAAAATTATAAATAACACACGAAAAGAAGACCTACGATCGCAAAACATTCACTCGGGAGCCGGTCTATATCTTGGCATACCAAGCAATAAATATCGACGTACCACTGCCGCCAAGGGCCTTCCGTCCTTCTTGTAGCCGAGTGCATAAACTCAATTAAAAGTGTTCTATTGGAGACATGAATAATCATGTGAAATGCGTTGGTGCATTCTATGGCAGAGTATCGTTCTCGTGATAAATTTACAATTTTTAATTAGAGTTTTAAGCTAGCCAAAATAAAAAAGGAACAAAATAAATTAAATCGAATCAACTGTGAGAAAGAAAACAACATTTAAAAGACGTAAGATTGAGAATAAATCAGAATTACCATGTACGTTGTTTTAACGTAAGTAAGAAATAAATAAACATAAGGGATGTGAAAACAAGTTGAATGTAACAGGCGAGATAATTGCGTACGAATATATAAACGTAAACTAAGCGTCTCGTGCATTAGCTGAAAAAAAGCAGAAAAACATAAAAAACACATTGTCATTTGTACGAGTATATATAACTGGTTGATTTTTAATCAATGTACGATCTGAAAATAGTACATCAAATATAATCGATAAGATGTCGATAGAGAAACAAAAACGTAAAAAAAATTAGAAATTAGACATTCGAAATTCTATACGCCAAAACAAAAAGTTGAATCAATTGAACTAGATTTTTTAATTATGTAAATAGGCTGCTAGATTTTCGATTTGCACCGTGAAACACCCAGAAAAACTAAACAAGTAAGGTCAGCATGATTCCTTTCTCCTACCGAGATAATATAGACTCATGGGATGTTATACCTACATGCACGATTAATGCGAGAAGAAAACAACTTAAAGTCAGCACATGGTATATTGACAAGTGAACAACAACGATTAACTTGGATGAGTAATAATACGAGGTGGGAGGGGGAAGCAAGAAAAGCGCAGAATACGCCTCAAAGAAAAAAAGAATAAAAAAACTACGTCTAGCCCTTAGGAGTCGGGTTGTTGTTTGTTATAAATTATTGCGTATGCGCGATACTCAATTGTGATGATAGATCACTTTGATTGTTAACGAATTGTCACTATTACTAGTTACGACTATGCCCAGAAAAAATTAACCTGTTTATTTTTATTATTCTTTTTTCTATTTAATTTGATGATTGTTTTGAGTTAGCAATGAATCTTTTTCTACGAGAAATTGGTTCGAGTGAAAAAAGCGCATTTTTTCCATTTTGCAAGTACTTTCGAATTAGTCGATCAAAAACAGAACGTGTTTGATTACGCAATTTCAATAAAAACTAATTAACTTGGATTGACAATGCTTTTTATTCACCTATCCATAAGTATTATTAATTATTCGTTATACAAATGGCTCATTGGTTTTTAAGGAAATCCAGTATTAAAAATTTAACAAAATCGATCGTTCACCGCTACTTTCTATATCTTCGAATCTACAATAGACTTTGATGATAAAATGATAAGAGACTTTCTACATAAGAGCTATCGGAAATCGAACCTCGGATGTTGGACGAATACAGAGGTAAAAAAATCAAATTAATTGTTTGTCATTATCTTATTAAAGATTTGTTTGCGGTCTGATAAAACCATGTGAAACATTTATTTTTATTTTGTCTTGTAACCTGAGCCAAATTATTGTCATGCGAACATTTTTGTTTTTTATGTTAAATAGTATAAAACCGAACGTGAAAATTATCTGCTGTGAACTTGTAACAACTATTGATTTTTTTCGTACTGTATAAAAGTTTCGCGATCATAGTATAACGCATAGGTATACCCACCGGCTATGCATTATATACGAATACTTTGAATTTGACTACTCAAGTTAAAATAAATATAGGTTCCAAAGTTATCGACAAGGTTTCCATCCTTGATAATATAGTACATTACGATACAAGTGCGGGAAAATAGATTCTTGTCTCGTGTGGCGTTTACGCCCGAGCGAAGCGATTTTTAACTCTTGGAAATTTGCCTTAAAAACGTACAATATGCGTGTTGCTCCACATATATGAGTTGTAAATTAAATATTATTATCAAACTTAGTAAGGACAGAAGTGAAAAGTGATCAGAGATTTGCATTGTACCGAATGTCCGACTGTTTATATAGCGTAGACAAAAAGGAAACGAACAAAGAATTAAAGAAGATGAAAATAGTTTAATGAACGAATTACTAACGATCCTAAACATCTTACTGATAATCCGACACCATTTCGATTTTAACGATGTTTAAATGTTAGACAAATAGATTAAGAAGTAAGAAAAAAAGATTAATTTTCGAAATGATATTTATTAGTACATACGGTAATACTATTAACAGACAAGAGGATATCTTAGTGAACAATACAATAGTATTTTTAAATTTATTAAATAGATTTGTATCACGTTGGCTTAGCCGCTTAGAGCACTAAGTCTCAATTCCTATTTTCTTATACAATTTCAGAGTTCGCTTCGATTTTTATAGCAGAAATTTTAGCACTGAATTTATAAAAGCTATAAAATTTCTCACGATAAAGAAAGAAATTTTAGAATATTTACTGATTATTTAGTGAAAGCTCTCTCAGAGCACTACACAATACAATTCAGGTTTTTCCTCTCCACTCGTTTATTAGCTCAGAACAAAATTATTACATTGTAGAAAATTACACAAAAGTATCAATCTTATATGGATTCTTTCTCATGAAGGCATTTTGGGCAAAGATTATGCTGATAAAGAGCTAAAAAAGCTGCAGAACAAGACTCTATTTTACATATAGATATACCTTAATCATATTTAAAACCAATCTAACTTATGCGTTTTCTCTTCCTTAACTTGATTCTTAAGTTCTAATTAGCATATTGAACTAGAAAAAATAAAATAATATTATTAATTAATTATTATTATTATTAATAATATTATTAATAATATTATTATTATTCTTAAATAATATTATTAATTTATGAAATAATTAATCCGTTTTTTTAATCGTACTTAACTTTATTTCATAAGCTGACAGATTTTAATTCGTAAATATGAATTTTTTTTTCTTTTTACGATCAACAACATTTTACGAAGGTAACTGTTGGTAACTCTGGAAGTTATATTAATTTTAATTTGAGTATTCAAATTTAAAACGTTCGTTCATAATGCATTGTCGATGGGTGACGACATTTTATTGATGAACAACATTAATACTTTTTTTTATTAATTTTTATACTTCAGAAAATAGTTACTATGCGCTCTCCACGCTCTCAAAACTTGTCTAAATTGAACTCAACGTAGTTTCGGAATCGGAACATTTTCAGAAATTTAAGATCACTGCTAGCACAAAAAATTCAAGTCAAGAATGGCATCTATTAAAAAATAATTCATGGTCCTCTGCAACATCGGCAAATGATGACAAAAATTAATTTATTATGAAAAGTGTGTGGATGAGGGATGTACTCATTTCCAGCTACATAAGAGGATGTATAATTTAATAAATTTTTTTTTAAATAAATGTCAATTAGATATCGATCAACTCTAAATTTTTTTAAGTATGGTATTAAAAATTGATGTTTGGAAACATTAAAAAACTAAACGTCATATTTATTGTTAGACAAAAAGTTGAAAGTATTAACTCATATTCGTTCCGTTGAAAATTTCACCCATTGTTAGTTTTTCTTCGTAATATATAACTTGTTTAATTTGATTTCCGAGATAATCATATCTTTCAATCTGTTTATAAACAGAAAGGTTATTAAAATCCATATACATACGTAACACAAATTGTTTCTACAGCACAGCGACTTATGATAAATGATACTTTGAACTTGAGAAACAGTAATCTCATTTTTATTGGTAATTTCTTTAAGTAAATCCAATATTTATTTAACTTTCATAGATTTCACATAAACTAACTTTATGTGAAATAATTTGAAAAATTCAAAACTAATAACCAATATATATGGTTTCAAAAGAAAAATTAAGTGAAGTAGATAAATAACTTAATGCACATTAAAAAATATTAGGAAGAATATACATCAGCAAATTTATATTAATCGCAATGAAAAAAATTAAAGTAATAAATGATGCCATCAAATTTACAAGGTATTTTTGTTAAGGTCGTAACAGAACAACTAAAGATGTGTCTCGAGTGAATTTCACATAAATATACGATTACGAATATAGCTGATTCGAATTTAAGAATATCGGCAATGAACATGCGAATATTTCATCGAAGCAATAACAGTGAATTTTTCAATAAAAAACTTTGCAATTTGCCGCCACTATCGTCTGTAATGCGTTCATGACTCATCTACAGTGACGACGATACTTGGGGTGTGTTTCGACTCCATTATACTATGGAGATCCTAAAATAATAATACATACAAATTTACCTGATTTCCGAGTACAGAGTTTATTATACGACTTTTTGTCGGGTTATTGGTAACTGAAATTTATTGATGCCCAAACTGACAGTGCATTTTTACCTCCAATTAAATCTGATAGATTTTCATTCGTGTTTGCAAAGATGTTAGGTCGTTCATGATTTGATTTACCTAAGTGAACAAAAATTCTTGTAATTCTCGAAAAATCATCGGGCGAACTTATCGACGAGTACACAAAGAAAACAGACAGAAAAGTATCTTTGTAAAATTTATTTCAGAGACAATTTTGACAAATTTCACATTGAGCCAAAGTCATTTATAAAAGCAATGATTACACAGAACAACACATGATTACGTAAATAATATCGAGGTCATCATTTAATTAGTTTCAAAAGATAATAGATCTTCGTAAGTCAAGTAATCCTCGATCATTTGAACGAGGTTCATGTTAAAATTCACGTGCTCGAAAATCTGCAAAAGTTGCTCAAACGCCGCGCATCTTAAATTGTTATTCATGATAAACGCTTTCGTCATGTTTCTTTGCGCCAAAGTAAGATAATACCAAAGTAGCGGAAGCTGTCGACTTTCCTTTACCTTGTTGTGAAGAATGTTTTCATTATTGAAATAATGCGCGATATCTTTAGGCTCGCTAATAATAATGTCAAGCGCTGAGCAGCCATCGAAGATCATAAACCTTTTCATTAATTTCACGTGGTCCCGTAAAAGTGTGAAATAGCTAGAAAGAACCATGTCTGCAGTTATGCGATCCAATGTTTGCTCGAAAATAGGCAAACTTTGAGCTTCGTAAAGAGCCAACTTCGCTAACATAATGGATGTCGGTCTGAAGTCGCCCAATTGATCCATGGCCGTACGACCTTGATTATCCAACAATTGCACGTCAGCGCCGTACTCTAATAACAACTCGACACACTTTTGATTGCCAAGAGAAAACAATGGCGTATATTTGAACAGACCTCTGACATTCGGATCGGCGCCAGATTCTAGCAAGTATCGAACGTTGTTAACAGCGTGATAGTGGGTGGCGAAGTGCAGTGGGGTCATATCACGACACAAACCATTCACGTCCACTACTTTTCCTTGAAGCAGTTCCCTAACATCCACTTTGCTATTAGCAAACAGATGCGCGAGTATATTTTCTCGGTATTTCGCTGTCAGATGTTCATCTACGTTGCAATCTAATAGCATTCTAATAGCTTGGGATCTGCCCTTTTGCAACGTGTTTTCCAAAATTCTCACGGAAACATCATCAATGAAATTAGCGGCCATTAGCTGCTTGACGTAATGCTTCAACGATGCCAAGTTTGTGTTCGGATCGTTGATTAAAGCCACCATTTTAAATATAAATATCGAGCGTCTAAAGCTTGCATCAGGACCATGCATCAACAATGACTTGGTATTTTCCGCGTACATCGATTTTATGGCCAAATCGACGAGGAGATGAGACTCATTGTGCGGAATCGCTCTCGTCTGATCGAGGACCTTAGCTGTCACATCGGCCATCTCCATGATCAGTACAAATTCCAATGCACACTTGGCTTTCACAATAATTCTAACTAAGTTATCGCAGGAGATTTTTCTTTTCCTCAACAAGTCCAAGAATTGCTGGATGTGATCCACCTCCAAGACATCACGATTGCGAATCAGATCGTCCACCCAACCAAATGTTTTTTCATCCTGATCTTCGTCCGAATCGGATATTGCCACGTTTTCTAACCGCTTTGTCAGGTTCCTTACGTGCCTTCTCCTGCGAGGCTGTCGATCGAGGAAAGTTTTTTTTAGTTTTTTTAGTTTCCGCTAGGCATGCAATTGTATCTCGCGATTTTGCCTTTCGCAGAAAATCCATTGTGTATTGGCAAATTGCGAGTAGCGTTATTTGGAAATAATTTTTAACGTACCATTTTGATGCTGATGGGAAAACTGTGGCAACGAGACGTGAGAGGTTGAGCGTCGCACGTCAATCGTATAGATGTGTTTACCTGACTGCCACCAAGAGCCTGCAATCAGCTACTGTGCTGCGGCATCGATGTACTTACAGTTCCGTGGCAAATCCGAAACAGCTCGGTCAATCGCGATGAAAGCGAACGAGGCACTTAGGGATATGGGATTATAGTTGCGAGGCGTGCTGGATTAAGCACGAATAGTCATGCGTTTCATCTCTTCGGTCGTCACCTACTCTTCTCATGATTTACATGTTATTGAGAATAGGAGACTCTCGAGTGGGTTTCACCAAACGTTCAATGATCAATTTCATTTTAAACACTTGTCAAACCATAAACTATCAGGGTATCACTGCAAACATGTCTTTTCAACAATATTCAACAAGTTATCAAATTTGGCTAGAAACAAATGGGGCTATATCTCAAAAAGTGTGCTTTTTATTTTAAAAATTCTTTCTCCGTCAGATTCCTTTGGATCTTTCATGTACGAATCAACATTAAAATAAATAAAGCGGGCATCGCGTAAGAAGCAGCAGGGGACAATGAACGTTGCCCCGGTTTGATTCAACCGATCATCCCATCGCCGTACCTGCACAGACATTAACCCAAATTAGGTGCATTAATCTTGATCTTTCAAAATAGTGTTAAATTGGTTATTTAATAGATGCTCCGTCGTGCGAATGATAGTCACGAACACTTACTGTCCGTGTCCGATTACACAAGAGAGCGAGAGCGGCGCATCGTCCTTGAACTTACATCATAATGAAGTTTTTTATGATTAGTTATCAGATCTTTTCTCCTTTACAAATCGCATTTTCGTAGTATTTCTTCAAAACTGCATGTACGCTTTTTTAAAATTAAGGCGATTCAGTGCACGAAGTTCAGAGATTATTTATGAATATTTGTATTGTTTATCTTTGTAGCCATGTAAAATTTCTAAATATTTCATGGTAAAGTTTGCATACTTTTACAGATAATACACAGACACTTATGTAGCGAAGCGAGAAAGCTTTGGAATTGATATTTTATTATCTCTCAATGAAGTAGTTACATGATAAAAAAGTAACATTTTATAGACAAAAACTTATGTTTTCAATTGGTATGTAGCAAAGCATAGATAGCTGTGTTATAAACTACAAGTTATAAATAAAAATATCGCTAAAAAGTGCCAAAAATTGATACCCACGCGCAAGACTAATTCGCTTAAATTCTTGGATAATTCGTTCTAATACATATTAATATCTCTAAATCGATACATATGTTCAAGGGAATATTTATAAGTAAACCAGTTTATGTCAAGTTTCGGAAAAACTATCTGAAACTATAGATTTCGAGAAATACCTCCAATTTTTTGTGTTGATTAGTGCGTTCCGCGCTCTCTTTTTCATTTTTTTTTCGCATTCATTTCAATTCACGAATATCGATCAAAACTTTTTGATATTGAGGTTCAAGGACTTGGGGAGTATCGCAGGTTACAAAGCTCGAGCATTAAGACAGATGAAGCAACAAAGAGCACGGCTGAGGAATCAAAATTCTCTTATCATATATAAATAAAGATATATGCTTTTTGATTGCTTAGCTTGATTCTTTTTTTGATGCATTTTTTACTTCGATTTGTCCCTTTTTAATTTTAGTTTTCTTTCATTTTTTATTTATTTGAAAGGGAGAAAAAAGTGATTTTTTGATATATTTGAGGTTCTGTAATATAAAATTTTTTTTCTGAAAACCAACTACCCTTTTTTTTTAATTTATTTAATCAAATTGAACCCTATTGGGTTATTTTGCTAAACTACCCTTTAAAACCAATATCTTAGATTTTAGTTTTTTTTATTACAGAGATATCATAGATTCCAATTAAGCATTCCATTCAAGTATAATCAATCACATTTATTATCTGCTCAACGTGTAATTAATCTTAACTAAATAAATTATTCAACCTGCTGAATGCAATTTTACTACTGTTTGCTTGCTACCATCACCTAAAAACTATATATATATTAATAACATGCATGGAAAATAAACAATTTATTGCCGATAAAAAAATATTCGCAGGATATTATACTCGTTTTTAATGTAAATTGATTATAACTTTTAATTGTATTTGTAAATGAAAATTATTTGATTTATTTAGTTAGACGTTAGTTGTGTAGTTATATATTTACTATTTTCTCAATATTCATTAATTATTAGTTATTAACTAAATGGTTATATAAATGTATATTAACATCGGTAATAATTTTTGCGAAGTTTCTTTTTCAGTGAAGAGTCAAGAGAAATAGATCGATCAATCAAGACAATAAGGACACTTAAGACTAAAGAGAAAAACAGATTAAGGCGAGACACAGGAACTAAATAAGAAAAGATTGTGTTCCTTTCAATTTTTCAAAAATCTGACCACACCTTCCGTATTTCGTACAGACATTGTCGGGCTAGCTAGTTGAACAATGCACCAATAAATTATAGTGCTTTTAACTCTAGCGGCCTTCTATAAAGATTTGGCTATTGATAATATTTGTAAATCTGAGGATTGAACCCGAAATTCGAAAGTTACGGTAAATGTGTTTTGCTGACCGTTACCGTTTGTAACAATATGTCTAGGCAATTTATTTTCCTCAAATATTGTCCCTTTGAATTGCACCACACAATCTCTGAGCAATATCTTATATAACATAATATAATAAAATATATAACAAAATATAATTAGTAATCAAACTAACTCACCTCAAGTGTAGTTCAATCATAATTATATAAATTATCTCGTTCGTAAACCCTCCTTCCCTGTGTACGAGTATATGTATGTATAATAGAATACCAAGCTAACAGATCTGCTGTTTATGACAGTAGTATGCTTTCTCGAAGTGTATAAAATTGTTTACATATTGAAAGTAAATTTTGTTTGTAAGAAATTTGACAAATTCAGTTACATTTTATTCTATTATTTAGAATATCAAGTATTTTATTATTAGACTGAAAAAATGTGAAGGTCAAAAGATTTGAACCGACTTGTCTCGGATAAGATCATGCAAGATAAATATTACTCAAAATATAAGAATTACGAATAATCGATAAAACTTTGTAAATTCAATAAATATCGGTTAATTATCGATAGAATTAATCCAATTGTAAGGTAATTTTATTTGCAAAGTGATCCACCTGTACTTTAAACGGTTTGAAAAGGCTTGGACACAGTAAACGTAGTACGGAAAAATCGTGAAAAATGGAATGCTTTTTATAAAATTACGATCAATCGACTTAAAATCAAACCAGTTCTAGATTTAAATAGGATAAACATAAATGCAAACTTTCGTAAAAATAGCTCAGACTCTTCTATCGCAACTGATTTGAAACTGTGCATAACTAAAACAGGAAAAAAAAAACTGAAATTTCTTAAATAGAAAAATCGCGTGGAACGTGCTATTTTCAATGCACTTTTCCTGCCGAGCGTGCGGGAAAACCACACTTTCTCCGCGGAGAGTCGAAATGTAGATTCTTGTCTCGTGTAGCATTGATGCTCCAGCGAAACGAGACGAGAATTTTTTTCAAATACATAGTGCACTGCTGCTATTCATGTCAAATAATATTGATTTATCATGATGTCATTAAGTAAATTGAGACCTTAAGACGAGTAGGGATTCCCTCAATTTAATTGTGTTATAGTGGCCAGCAATGAGAGATACAGAGGAGGAGCCGTTCAAAAATGTATTATTTTTCGATTGCCCCCAACGGAGCGATAACTTTCTATAAATAGACGTTGAGTAATTTAGAAGTGCACAGTTGAGTGGCTAGATGTAACTTGAGCCGGTGCGAGGAAGGGAAACAAAGAAATATTGGGGAAACCCGGAAATTAGCGCATTGTGCCAGTGCAGATAGGATGAAATCGACTGGACAATTTGCCACAATTCATAAAAGGCGCTGTTGAACTGAACAATAAAACTGAACGTACACAAAACAGAAATGAATTTTCATTTGCATAGGCAGACGCCATTCATGCTCCTATTTAGCCGATTAGCACCGACGACTGTTAATAGCTGCGATGCCTCGGCGTTTCTTTGGCAACAATGACAAAGAGCAGCACAACGAAATGGACGAGAAAGTTTCCTTTTCGAATCTTATTATTCTTCAACTAATGAATGCCTCACTGTAATCTTTTTCGTTTATTTTCTTGTATTCATTTTCATACCCTGTGATGAATATATTTCAATTGTCAAAACTGAAAATTCAGTTATACATTAAGTAGTCCCATAATTGAAAATGATATATAAACGATGTCATTTATTGATTAATAAATATGCAGTAACATAGACAGTTGATGATCATGATTTCAAAGCGCTATCAATGAAAATTCAATTTTTTATAATCCAAACAGTTTTAAAAACACAACAAAGATTGTAAACAAGTTCTCGTAGTTTTCTGTAATTATATTGTGTATCCTTCGCAACGTAAATAACAGACTTCTATAAATATTCTTAATTACTGAATAAATTACTCAAACAATCTATATTAAATTCATGTTAACTATACTGATACACTTTTCGAACTTTTAATCGTATGCAAGAATATGCAGTAATGTTTTATGAGCGTACACAACGCATTTATATACAACAGCCAATCACAGCTCGAATAAAAATATTACATTTTTATCTGGTTGACGTTTTGCGAAGGGCATGGTAGGTCACAAGCCAAGGCTACGAAAGTATTGGCAATCCATAGCGCACGTAAATTGTGAAACGCGCGCTATGGGCTTGCTAACGTCGCGGCCACGAGTCGCACGCGACTTTTTTGCCCAGCGCGGCTGGATAATGCCACTTTCGGGCCTCTGGATAAAGAAAACGACTGCCCTCTATTACTGGGAGACGTGTTCGAGTAGTCGATCACCGAGGCTCACACGTTTACGCAGCATGAAATAATTTAGAATTCAAAAGCGGAAAATCATTACAGTACATAACTTGACGATACTGAGCTTCCTTTTATTTGAATTTTCATATGTAGTCAGGTTAAAGTGCGTATTTTTTATTTCGGCTTCTGATTATACTTCAAGGCACTAATCAAATATTATACTCGGCGTATAATAGTCAATAATAATGTGATTTATTGATTCGGTCGGTCAGTGATCGAACAAAGATATACTTTTAAGTATATTCAGTAACGATATTCGTTGAAATCTGCACGGCGTCGAACGTTACGATGAAATCTAATAGACTCGTGGCTTGAAATGATGCTAAAGTCGAAAATAACAAGATTTCAGAACTCCATCGAAATCACGTATTTCTTGTAGTCAGAAATTATAAATCGGAAAACAATGTGCTTGAACACTCAACTGAAACTAGCACAGGTCACAAAGTATTTTTAGATCAAATAAATTCAGTCAGGACGTGTCAGGTCGATTCCTCTAAAGGAATTTTGCAAATTACGAAAATTTCAATTTCCATTTCTTCGAACAAGTCAGCTCGTGACGTTTCTTCATGAAAACATGGTCGAAAATTCGCTGGCATCCGGAGCATCTGTTGTTCACCTTGTGTTTCTTCAGATGCTTGATGTATGCGCTGATTTCGAACAACTTTGTCTTGCAGCACTCGCAGATGTAGTGCTTTGGAGTTGCGAAAATTTGACGGTCTTCGGCGTTGCTGGGTACTTTCGGGCCCAGGAAAAAGTCAGGATTCTTGATGAACCCTTTGCGTTTCATCGCTTGCTCGAGTTTCGCGGACATCAGTCTCAACTTGATCATCCACGTACTGTTGGAAATGGTGGACAAGTCGAAGGAACGTCGCGTTCGTTTGACGAAAAACCTTTCGGCAACACGGTCGTTCAATTCTCTGTCGTCTTGCTGAGAAGGGAAGTCGGTTGCAGTGAAAGCCTGCAAAAGACAACCATTCTGTAGCGCATCTTATCATTTTTGTCGATGCACGACACAAACAATGACGCGAACAGTGCGATGAAGATTGCAATTGCATTGCCACAAAATCATCTCTCAACGATACTCATTTCGAACATTAGACATATAGAAATATCACATTATTGACAGTGGTCAATTCGTAGCAGCAAACACGGCACAACGAAAAAATATTCATACCAAGAGAGAGAGAGAGAGAGAGAGAGAGAGAGAGAGAGTGAGAGAGAGAGAGAGCTAGAATACACAAACATACCAAGCCTGACGTTAATGCGTTATTTGCTTCGGACGAAAAGTCTTCATCAAAGTCCATTGCCCAGCGTCCGTAACTCGAAATCAACAAAGCACTGCGAAACAATAAGATGTAGATTCGAGCGGAAAGCGACGAATTGTCTTAGTTGCGCAACATGCGCTATCCGACGAAAAGTTTTTGTGAAAGCTCACTTCGCAACGTAATGTCCCTTAAAAAGAGCGCGTCAGAGTGCGTTTTTCTTTTCATTCAGCAGATCGATCGATTGCGTTAAACATGTAATTGGCAATATCAAGCAACGATCCAATTTACACTAACGACCCCACGAAAAGCGAATCTCCCGGCAAGCGGAGTCGCGGGCTTAGAGAGCCCTAAGAAATAATCCTCTTAAGGCACTCGATAAACCTGCGTTCGCGTCCCAGTTTGCCGTCGCCTTGCCTAAATCGCATCGTATACCTTCAGTGCTGTAAATCAACTGACGAGACGAGCAGCATGTGCGATAATTTTCTAAAACTTTCATCGACGCCTTGTTCATTTCCATAGGAGCATTACGTGTCATTTTAGCGGAAGATACATTAACCACCATAGCCAGTAAGTGATTTGTTATTATTGCATTATATGGCAAATATAAAGATTTTAATACAAAGTCAAACGTTTGTGTTTGGAAGGTGGCTGCAACCGCTAAATAACAACTTGCATGCGATTTGGAAAAGTACAGTATTTTTTCATGACATATCCGCTCAATCGAGACACCGATTCTCACAAGATGTACGTACCGTGGTATTGTATCCTAGACCTTTTTTTCTATAATTATTTCATTAAATTCACCAGCTCATTGACGATCTCTGCTACCTGGTTTAATTAATACGATGTGCATAATTGAATCCGAATTAGCGAGCCAAAACTTTCGTATGCGTCACCTATTCGCTTTATTGTACGGCGTTAGTGATTGACATTTAAATGCAACGACGGACATAGTGCTACTCTGTTGTGGCCTGAGTACTTACACCGGACGATCGCCGATTATACATGTCGACGCAATAAATCGCACAAATCGCCGACTATTGCTTGACTTTATTCACACAGAGGACGTGATAGCTTGACAGAGGGCGATTCGCAGAGGAACGTATAACTGGAGTGGGACTCCTTCTCAGCAGCACCGTTGATCGGCCTAGCATCCGCAGCCCTATATTTCCTGTATATTTTATCTATCAATAGCACTTTGACTTTAGAGCACATCCGCAAAATCGAAGTTCGTCCGATCTCCCGACCGAGCGAGCACCGTAATTGAATCTCATAGCGGAATAGAGACTTCGATCTCCAGACCGAAATCTTCACTTTTGACATCGCCAAAATGGTATGGGCGAGTATTTACTTGCTTTACTTGCGATTATGCAATCTATAATGAAAAATATAGCATAATGCATCTCGGTGCATTGGCAATATTAAATGATCGTGCGTTTTTACATTTTCCATGCTTTTTTTGAGCTCCCCGACGAGATCCCACAAGCGCCCGCCAGCAAATGCCAACCGTTGAACCGGGGTGACGCCGGCGGCGATAACCCGTTTGATGGCACGCCATTACACGCAGCAGCCAGGGACAACGATGCGAGTCTGGCGGAGAGTTTCTTGGCTTCGGGACACTACGTGGACGCGAAGGACGAATCCGGTGTCACTCCGCTCGTGCTGGCTATCAATTTGAATCACTTCAACGTGGCGACCATTCTGATGGATTACGAGGCCGACATGTATGCCGTCGACCCGAAATCCCAGAAAACGGTTTTGGGAATTATATTCGACCGGCCATCCAGTCTGCCGCCTGCGATAGTTGCACGCGCTGTACATGCCTTGCGCGACTGCAATATAGCTCCAAATGTAAAAGCTGCGCTTTTGGTTAGAGCAGAGTGTCACCTTGAGCTTGTGACGTACTTCAAGAACAGCCCGCTAACAGCGATGTTCTTGAAACTTAAGCCCGATGGTGACGGTGACGAATTGTACGCGGCGCTTCAGCATACAATGATGAAAACAGACATCGATAATGTTTACGTTCTTCTCAAGTACGGCTTTAAATGGGCTGCGCTGGCAGCGGTTGTGTTTTATCGAATCGTGCTCCATTATGCAAATAGCGCATCTTCAATGCTAAATAGGCTTGCTGTCATCTATTTGGAGAAATTGAGCCCGTGGCACCTTGTAAACAAGCATACATTCGAATTTTTTCGCGCTGCATTTAGTGATTCTAGCGAAGACTGCATAAGAACACTGCTAAATTGCAAGGTTAACGAACCTTTTAGAGATAAGTACGGGGAAGATCTGGTAGCTCATGTGTTTGGCAATACCCACTTCCGCGCGGTACTCGTGATGTTCAATCGACAATTCGACGCGAATGCTCGAGGAGCAGCCGGATACACCGGACTGCACTTTGCCGTCAGATCCAACTCGGCAGACAACGTGCGTTTTCTGCTGGAAAGGGGCGCCAGCATTGATCTTAAAAACGAGCGCGATCGAACCCCCCTTGTAGAAGCTGTAGTTCATTATCGACAGAATCTCGTCATGCTGCTCTTGCAGAACGGGGCCGACATTAGAGCCGTGCTCCATCCGAAGACGCCGCGTTTTGATCCTTTCAGCAACACCTTCTGCTTGGTTTTGCAAGAGCAAATAATTGCCCAGCTGGTGTTGAGCGAGGTACTGGGCGTGCAGATTGAACCAGCCGTGCGCAAACGTATGGATAGCAATAAAAGGTGTATGGATTTCTACCATTGTTTTCATATGCAAATTTCGGACATCAAGTGCACGCAATTAGTAGGATCCTTGTCGCTATTTACTGCCATTACGGGCAGTATTGAAGAGATTGCGCCACACGTCATGCACGTCGACATAGATGAATTGGTCAAAAATTTTGAATCGAACTTTCAATTCCATTACTTTTTCAACTGTGCGCTAAAGGAACAATTGCATCAGGCAGATAAGTTGAATGACATCCGTCGCGGATACTGGTCAATCTGCCCCGAATGATATCGCCGTGATTTTAGATTTTGTTTTTTTGATGGGATCAATTTTTTAAGCGTATCGTGACTCGAGCTTCCAAGCTGTCGAATATTATGTAACTGTTAGACTGATGTTTTGTAAATTACGACCGATTTAGTGCTTATTGACATATCTCAATATCTTATCCGACTATACGTAGATTTTTTAATGCTTCATGAACTGTATTTTTATTTATTATATTTTTATTTAATTTTTTGTAATTAATATGTAAATATATGTGTGCAATCCGACTTTCCGTGTTGTTATGAATGATGTCAATATTCAATTATTGTTAGAGATATTAAGAAAAGTTCATTTGCAGAGATGATGTTTAAGAATTCTTTTCAACCTCTAAAAATGCTTCTCGATAATAAAAAATACGTGTCTCTTATTTGTTATGTTCTACAACATATTACAGTCACATGAAAATTGGAGACGAACAACTCCGAAGGGTTCCTTATAACTAAATTATTAATATGGTATCAATGGTGTATCGAGTAGCACTGGAACATTCATAAAACTATTGAACATTTTGCACATCAATTTCATACCAGTCGTTGTTAAATTGAAGAGAGTATAGTAATTTTCGACAGCACAAAGCATTTCTGCTGACTTGCACTTACGTCAACGGATTTGGCCTAATATAAATTTTCGTTTTTCATTTTTTTTAAAAAGTATGAAAAATTGTTTTTGTCCCGGCGCTTTTCAAAACTCTTCTGTTTCTGATGCATCAGAGGCAGATTCAGTATCATACTCTGGAGTGGTGAAACCAAAATGACCGTCATCAAAATAAAATAAATATTGAATTATAAAGAAATCATATAATTTTCTAAATTGATAACGTATGGAACATATTTCATTAAACTTGAAAAGTTGTTGACCATTCACTTGTTAATTACAAGTATTCAATAAATAATTGTGTTTATTTTCTACACAATATACATATGCATGAAATTCGTATGCCTTTCGTACATAACACATACAAAATATGTATGAAATATGCACAAAATATGTATGATTTATAAACTATAAATCGGTAATCAATTGCTGGATTGCATATTCCCTGTTATTCTAGCTTTCGTAAAGTATATTGTTCTAGAAACCAAAATAATTATCCTAACTATTTTATCATGAGAATTCATCGTTCGTTTGTAGCCATTCTAGTTTTATTAATTCTGGTTATAAATTGTAATAAATCAAACAAAAAACTGATAGTTATTAAAAAATACGTAGAAAATAGGTTTTTCTGAGCACTATTCAATGAGGAAGTTGTACAGACTGTACCTGTTTTCTCAGAGATAAGAAATGCTGATTAGAACCCAAATCGGCACTCCAGTAAACAGCGATACGTCCTACATATTTGCAAAGATTTTCTGATAAGGTTCTCGTCAGTATTTCTTTTTTTTTCGAAGTAAATATCGGTTTAAGCAACTGTATTTTGTGTAGCTTAAGTGATAGGTTAAAATCACACAAATATCAGCATTATATAAGCGGAAGTCATTTATATTTATTTTATAAAAGTATAATGGACAAGCTAAAAAATGAAAAAGAAAAACAAATAATAGATAACGCAAGCAAAAGAACCGATTAATTCAAAATGAAGTTAAGACTTACATTGCTAGTGTTAACGCCGACTATCTCTGTAAGATATGGCACAATAATACATTTTATTTTACTAGATATTTTATCTTCTCATTAAAAATGGCGTTATTTATATTTTCTTATCCAGACTAATATCAGCAAGCAAGAGATGTGAATTTAACGAATTTCCCTCGAGCAACTGCAATGATATGAAAAAAAAAATCTAAAATTCAACGTAAAATACAAGGAAATATCCATCTTATGCACAAAAATGATTCTTTTGAACCTCAGTCAAATAATTCAGACAATGATAATACAGAAGGAAATAATGATACCATGTGAAAAAATATTTTTACTAACAAATGCATAAGTTTCAACCCCTTAATTCACAAATAATCTTCGTGAGACAGACTATATATGGAATAAAGTTAGTATTACAATAATATGGATATTTAAATTAATTTTTACAATATTAAAGCCATGTTTTTACTTAAAACATTAGGGGTTGCAATCCTTTACGGTACAAATATTTCTTAAAAAACTGCCTTTTTATAACAAATAATTTGGCGTTGGAATGATATCAATATTCGATTGTCGTTAGAGATATTAAGAACATTTTATTTTCAGAGATGATTTCGGATTTAAATTAACTTTATATTATTTAAATTTACTTCATATTATATTGCACGTATTTTGTACATAATATCAAGGTAGTTCTACTGACAAAGCACAATATTATTAAATTTTTTGCAACATAATAAATTAACACCTTTGACGCTTGTTTTCTATAAATAGTATTTAATATTTTTTTTTTATTTTGTTTAAAGTCGCTCTATTTATGCTCTATCAGTGCTAATCAGCGACGGAGGCTTGCAATGTGTTTGAGAAAAAAGAATATGAAAATTTTTTTCAGACTGGGAATTGAACCCGGGCCCACCGGATGCGAGCCCGTCGCCCTACTGATCGAGCCATTGCAGCCCTCAGCATTTAATATGGTTAAATAGAAGATTCCCGAGTTGCACCAAATTCTGCACCATTATTATGCCCATTATAATGACATAACAAATTTGATTTCCAAAAAAAGGTTTCGGAGATGAATGATATTAGTCCTCATTTTGAAAATTTTGGAAATAACGGGTTCTCTAGAGAGTATCTATATGATATGTACGTTTGTGAAAGATTACTGCAGGGTTCAATACATTATTAAGAGTTTAAAAATTTATCGATATAGTTTATATGAATTTAATATGATTTGATGGATTTGCTTTTTGCAAAAATTATAGCTACGGTCAAAGCAAATTGATCATTGCATCTTCCACTTCATTGAAACGACGGAGGTGACAGTATGCCAGAGGACCGTTGGTGGGGGAACGCACACGTCGCTTGGCCCCCACCAGAGCATCGGCCATCTGAAGGGAGAGAGACAGAAAAGCGATGGACGAGACGAGAAGCCAGAGGCGTGGACGTCGCATAGCTACGCCCTCCTGGCTGGAGTAGGGGCCCCTTCTCGGCGGCACCGCGCTCGCTATTGGTTATTGGCTGGGTCGGAGTCTTGGAGTTTCGGGGTTGCATCCGCGGAACTATATTTCCTGTTCATTTTATCTGAAGCAAGCAGGAGCAAAGGCGACATTAGTAGTTTGACTTCCAAACGCTACGGACTTCCTAAGTGGCTTGTGCCTTCGGTTACCAGCAGACTTTTGCGATTGCATCCACAGAATCCGAGCTCGTCCAATATTACGCTCGAGCACCGCAATTGTATCTGATAGCAAAGTAGAGGCTTCTATCTCCAGTCCGAATCCTTTATCTTCAACATGGCCAAAAATGTATGGGCGTATTTTTTGCTTACACTTATATCATTTGTAATGAAAATCAGTTGAATCTCGGTGCATTGGCATTTGTTAAATGATCATCTGTTTTTATATTTTTCATGTCTTTTTTCAGCTTCTCAACGAGACTGCACAAGCTCCCGCCAGCGAGTTCCAACGACAGAACGAGGGTGACGACGCCGAGATGCCGTTACACGCTGCAGTCCAGGACAACAACGTGAGTCTCCTGGAGGATCTTTTGGCTGCGGGAATATACGTGGACGGGAAGGACGAGGCCGGCACCACTCCGCTTGTGCTGGCTCTCAATTCTGACCAATTCGACGCTGCGATCGTCCTGCTGGATCACGAGGCAGACGTGTACGCCGTCGACCCCATCTCCAATATGACGGTCTTGGAAATGATGTTCAACCGGTCATCCAGTCTGCCGCCTGCGATAGTTGCACGCGCTGTACATGCCTTGCGCGACAGCGACTTAAAGCCAAACGAGAAAGCTGTGCTTTTGGCTAGAGCTGATTGCCACCTTGAAATTGTAACGTACTTCAGGAGCATCGAGGTAACGAGAACGTTCTTGGAGCTCAAGCCAATAACAGACATTAAAGAAATAGAAGCGGCGCTCAAACATACAATGATAAATGGAGACAGCGATACCGTTCGCGCTATTCTGAACAAAGGTATAAAGTGGACTATGTTAGCGGCGGTTGTGTTTTTCCACATCGCGGTGGAATTGGCGAGTAGTCGATCTTCCGTATACAATAGTCTTGCTCTGCGCTATTTGGAGAAACTTGAATCGTGGAAACTCGTAAACGAGGACACGTTAGAATTTTTCCGTGCTGCATTTAATAATTCTAGCGAAAATTGCGTAAGGACACTGGCAAATAGCAACGTCAACCTACCCTTTAGAAAAAAGTACGGGGAAGATCTATTAGCCCATGTGTTCGGCAATACTAACTTCTGCGCGGTACTCGTGATGTTCAATCGGGACTTCGACGTGGATGCTCGAGGAGCAGCCGGATGCACCGGACTGCACTTCTCCGTGATGGCCAACTCGCCAGATAACGTGCGGTTTTTGCTGGACAGGGGCGCCAACATTGAACTTGAAAACAACAGCCATCGAACGCCTCTGGTAGAAGCGATACTGCATTCGCGACATACCCTCGTTATGTTACTTCTGCAAAACGGGGCCGACATTACAACAGTGCTCCTATCGGAGACTCCATGTCTTGATCCTTTCAGCTCCACCTTCAATTTGGTTTTACAAGAGCAAATAATTGGCCAGATGGTGTTGAGCGAGATATTGGGTGAACCGATCGAACCAGAACTGCGCTATCGTATAGACAGGAATAAAAGGTGTAGTGAGTTCTACGCATGTTTCAGACTGCAAATTTCGGATATGCATCGCGTGCGATTAGTGGATTCATTAACACTATACACAGCTATTACGGGTAGTTTTCGAGAGATCGCGCCACACTTAATGCACGTGGACATAGGCAAATTAGTGCAACGTGTGGAGTCTCGCTATAAGTTCCACTACTATTTCGTTTGTACGTTGAAGGAACAATTTCGCAAGGCAGCCAAGTTGAATGACATCCGTCGCGGATACTGGTCAATCTGCCCCGGATGATATCGCCGTGGTTTAGAACTTTTTTTGATAGGATCGATTTTTTAAGCGTGTCGCGACTCGAGCTGCCAAACTGTCGATTTTTATGTAACCTTTAGCTTAATGTTTTGTAAATGACAAGCGATTTAGTGCTTATTGACATATCTCAATATCTTATCCCGATCTGCGCAGATTTTTGTATATATAGATAATAAACTGTATTTTTATTTATTGTAATTTCATTTCGTTTTTTGTAATTAATATGTAAATATATGTCTGTAATTCGACTTTCCTTGTTGTTATTTAAACTCC